GGGGGGGGGGGGCTATGGGGGGTTCCAAATGTATAGTAGGGATAGTGGGTAGGTCGGGCATGGCCGACCAACCTGAGGCATAGTCTAGCTCCCGCTTGCGTGCCTGTCCTTGTTCTGCGTCCGGCTTGGGTTTAAGCCCAAGTTCCATTCCATGCTAGCTGGTGGAGTACCCATATCCTCACGTTAGGCCACCGGTATGCTGAAATAGTGCCAGACTCTGTTTAGCTCCGTTTTGCGTGCTAGTCCTGGCATTGGGATGCTGGTTGCTCCAAGACTGTTCCAAGTCGCTCCGGGCCCCTGTCCCTTTGCTCCTTGGGCTGTATGCTCGGGAGTTGCTCCGTGGTTCGGTTCCATCACTCCTTGGCTCCACGCTTGGGAGTTTGGCACCGTTCATTCGTTCAGTGGCCCAAGGCCCTGAACCTTGGGTTCCTATAGACACGTGGCATCTGTCACGTGGCACAAAGAGGGTTTAGGTTCCGCTTCGTGGTGTTATCCTATGGTAAATCACCATAGGATAAAGGGTCAAAACCACGTGCACTACATATAATGCGAGGATATGGGTACTCCACCAGCTAGTATGGAATGAAATGTGAGATTAAACCCAAGCCAGACGCAAAACAAATATAAACACGCAAGCAAGAGCTAAATTATACCTCACATTGGTCAACCATGCTTGACCTCATACATTTAAAACCCAAAAATATCTCTAAGCACTCTTTATATACTCTTACTTGTCCCTTGATTCTTTATAGATGATGTTCATGTCCTGTCCTTTTGTGTTCTCTTGGCTGTACTTAACAGCTTCTTTGAAAGAACTTTGGTTGGAAGCTTGCGATCGAGTGCAGCTTTCTGAAACAGAGGGACCTAATGAGATTTCTCATTATGTCAGAAGTGTCAATTGGTAGAAGGGAATTAGGCACACTAGTATGAACATCTTGTATGCCTCAACTACTATGGCATTCATCACGTGAGAAGGAGCTGTGAGGGCCTACCAGGTAAAAAAGATAAAGAAAACCATGTTTACTGTTAGTTGAGAATATCTTTACATAATGCAAGAGTTCCAAGCCAAATTGCACCATTCCACTGGAAGAGTAAGTGAAACACAAGAATCAAAGCCAAGGTCAATGTAGCAGACAAGCCCAATCTTATTATTGCATATCTCACAAATCTGGTCCTCAAGTTTCAAAGTGTGCTTGAAGCCCAATCTTATTATTGCATATCTCACAAATCTAGTCCTCAAGTTTCAGAGTGAGCAAGCATACAAAAAAAAAACCACATGAATGGATGTCAAGTACTCAATGATGAAATTTATGATGGTGATATGGATAACAGCACAAATTGCATGTTCATCACTTGTTCCTTCAGCTCCAGCATAGGGAATTAACTGTCACCAACAAAAAGGGAAAACCAAAACTAAAACTCACATTTGTCTGGGCAGCAGCAAATTTGCTCACATACTATGATGAGGTTCCTCACAGTCAGGAGGTAGTTCTTGGCCAATGTTATAAGAAAAACAAGGAGGAAAAAAACTAGTTTCCCTAGATGCTCCATCAATTATGTTATCTATCAAAAATAAAACATTTTAAGCCTTTTGCTCTTTTATAATATCCTTTATTACCTATAATTATGAGTTTGCTACATTTATACCAGATTTAGGGTTTATATGTCTTTATTAGAAAATAAAATTCAATTTTATCAGGAAATTATTATAATTATATTTATAATATTTGTTATTACCACTTATATTGTATTATTAATATTTGAAAAAAAATAGTGCCAGAGCAAGCTGTAAACCACGGCCTTTAGCCTGAAACTAATCATGGCCACAGTCATAACCCCTATGGCAAAATATTATTAATGTTTGTTTGTTTCTTTCCTTAAACTTTCTAAAGTAAACCAAATGTTGTTATACAAGCACAATAAATTATTTGAGCTCTTCTTAGCTTACATTTAATGTTTTTCAATACGAAAAGTCCATGATACAACACCTTGGCCTTTGTACCCAGAGTGAAGGCTGTGTCACCAATGCAATCTCGGGCAAGTAAAGACTGTCTTCCATGTCCTCTTTTAGTGCCTAAGATATCACAACTTGCAAGACCAGACCACTCTACCAAAATACCAACCAGCCATGATAGGCAATAGCCCACTTAGGGACGGAGCACTCCTGGGATGAAGACCAAGGCTAAAGGGAGTGAACCATGCATATAAATAGGTTCCTATGCTTTATAGTTATGCACAAATGGATTGCAAATAAACCATGGTTTCTTAGCAAGAACAATGGTAACCAGAGCTTTGTGTGATTCATTATAATTTTATTTTAGGAAAAAGAAGAACGAAATGGAAAATGAAAACAACTGAACTCTTCATGCACTGCGATTCTGACCAGATAACTTACACATTAAACCCAGTCGCATATCAGTAACCGGTTTTGTCTAAACTACAGCCTAAGAAAGTCTTAGTTAATTTGTGACAATGGCTGTGGACAAATGTAGCTGCGATCGATGGCCCTGACGACAACATGATCTGGTTGAACACTCAAGATTGTGGGGTCTTCAGCTTCGGCTTTCGCTGTGGGAATCCTTCTCCTTCCCTCCAGCGGGCATTGGATCTCGAGTGGGGGAATCCACCACGTCTCTCTCTTCGTTTTCGCAGCGCTCCTCCACCAGCACACTTGAGCAAAGGCCGAATGGTTGATAACGGCGGATTCGAGATTGACCTTCTTGGCAGATCTCCTCAAGCATGAGAACATACCTTGCTTGGAGTTTGCAGTGACGAAAATCGCGTTAAAACACGGCATTCGTTTATACACATTAGTGCCGAGCCCCATACTTTTTTATTAAACAAAAAAACTAGAACTGTTGATTGAATCTACATTACTTAGGGCTTGGCAGCGATGGAGCGCCTCCCGCTGTCCGTGCTCCAGGACATAGTTTCTCTGCTCGATCTCTCTTCTCTCTTCGCGGCAGCGTCGACCTGCCGGGTACTGAAAGCCGCTGTCGATCAGGAGCTGCCGTTCTTGGAAAATCTTCATCTTGAGGTATGTCGCGTAGAAATGCCCATCAGCTATTGATCTCCGGGCTCTCTAGGACTATTCTCTGGATCGTGCCACATTGAAACGGCTCCTAACGTCGAGCATTGGCTCGTCGAGCTCACGATTAAGTTTGAAACTCCGTGGTGTGGCTCTGGAGGATGATATGGTAAACCTTATTGCCAAGCCTCAGCTGGAGGAACTCCACCTCGAGTACTGCACAGAATTCTCGCCGGGGTTTTTTCACGACATTGGTCTCACTGCTCGCAACCTCCGGTAAGAGTCTGGCCTTGATATACTGTATGCTAAATCTTTTTCCTATCGTCCTATAGGCGTCTATCGATAAATCCGTGCTCGGATACCACAACGATGTCTTTAGCTTCACTCCAGCACTGCCATTCTTTGGAGGTATGTTCTTGCCTTTTCTTCATTGTGTGCTCATACGCGTTTTTTACTCCAGTCCTTGTCGCTGCTATTTGATCCGGAGGTTTTGGTATTTGGTGGTATTGTCCTACCTTCGCTATTAGTTCTTGAGATTGGTGGTCTTTCGGAAGAGCACGGTCTCAAGCTTATCCACGCCACAGCGTCTCCAGCCTCGCAGTACAAACTCCAAAGGCTGTCCTTGGTTCTCTACCATATCACCGACGCTATTGTGCAATGCGTTTCTGAGAACCTGCCTATGCTTTTGGAGCTTGAGTTGCGGGACGAGCCATCCGAGGCTTATCAGAACGACTTAACAGATGCGGGCATTCAGAAACTTGGAGCTCTTACTCGGTTGCGTCGGCTTTCCCTGGTCAGAGGCTCGAAATTTTTCTTCAAGCGAATCAACGACGTTGGAGTATTTATAATGATCCACAGCCTGCAGCAGCTGGAGAGTATAAGGCTCGGTGGTTTCTCTCGGATTACAGACGCTAGCTGCGCGGCTATTCTCTACAGTTGCTCGAAGCTTCACACTTTTGAGCTTATGAAGACGAGTAAGTTAACCGACTTGGCGTTTCACAACTTATCATCAACCGTTCCTCGCGGGCTTGTCAACGTGAACTTGTCTTTGAACAACTTGCTCAGCGATGATACTCTCGGGCACTTCGTCTGTTGCACCACTTTGGAGGTGTTAAATCTCAGAGGCTGTAGAAGCATCGGTGACGCTGGCCTGCGACATATCTCCAAGCTATGCAACTTGAAAACGCTATTGCTCGATGGCTCAGATGTTAGCGACTTCGGCCTTTATCCTCTTGCAAAGGGGAAGATGTCGTTGATATCACTTTCTCTGAGAGCTTGCACAAGGGTCACGGACGATGGAATCGTCGCTCTAATGGCCGGCAGGGCAGCGAAAACGTTAAAGTCTCTTGATCTCTCACTCATACCGAAGCTTACGGACGCGAGCATTTTATCGCTAGTGCAGAATGGGGTGCTACCAGCAGAGCTTTGGTTACGGAACTGCTACCAGATAGGAGACGTCTCAGTGATGGTGTTGGCTACGCATCTCTCTATGCATCCCGGAAGAGTTCTGAAGCTGCTTGATCTTTGGAACTGCAGAAAAATAACCGCGGATGCTTTAAGGTGGTTCAAGTGGCCTTACTTCTCCGGCCTGAGGAAGCTGGGAGTTCCTGTCCCGCTGGAAGAGACTATCAGATCAGCACGTCCGTCTACCCTTTTAAGCTTCGACGGATCCGAATGCTTTGATGATGAAAGTGGCTGGGTGGACGAACTTGAGAGGAGACTCGAGAAAACCAGCAACTATAGAGGTGTGAGTTTTCATTTTGTTGTCTCTTATCCTCATTTTTTTTCTTATGTTTGCAGTGGCTTCTACTTCATGATGTTTCATCCAGTAATTTCTTCGTAAGTTTGGTTATAGCTTGAACGAGTTGAACGGTCTAGATGTGCAGAGAGGGGTCTATCTGCTCCTCGTTTGCTTTGGCCTCTAGGAGCCCAGGAATGGCAGCGTGGTGTGGAAGACCAATTTATCTCGCACTGGAGCCGCAGGTAGCCGCATTTTACTCAGAAATGCCTCCGGCATTGCGAGGATGCCCCAAGGTCACAATTTTCTGCTTCTACCTTTTCCTGTTCACTCACGTTTGGATCTCACAGACCAAACAGTCTATAAAGATGAAGAGCTCCATGAACTTGGATCATTTTGATGGTAAAAGCTCTCTAACTTTGCGAAGGTATCCGCTAATCTGTCGTGTAGACAGGACCAAGCGTCGGGAGATTCTCGTAGGCGTCGGGACATTGTTGTTGATCTCTCCCGACGTTGCCCGCGGCGAGAGTGAGTGTCTCAAATGCTTTCATATCATGTGTTGATGGAAGAATGTTGCAGAAACCCCTGCAGGCTTCAAGGCATCATTGGACAAAAGCGATGGCTATGTATTTTACTATCCATTCGGCTGGGAGGTAGCTCTTGAATCCTTCGTGTTTTTTTGTTGTTGTTGTTTATACTTCCTGCGCTGTAGGAAATTGTTGTCAAAGGTCAGGATGTAGTGTACAAAGACGTGATTGAGCCACTGGAAAGCGTCAGTGTTAATATTGTGAAAACTGAGAAAACCGACATTCACGATTTTGGACCTCCCGATAAGGTAAAGAAAATACCCTTTGGAAAGAATGGACACTTCACAATTCTATTTTGCCGCAGCTTTCGAAAACTCTAGTCGAGAAGTTCCTGACCTCACCGTCGCAAAAAACGCAAGTTATTGAAGCCAAGGAGGTATTTGTCAGCCCATCCATGTCTCTTACTTTGTTTGAAGTTTCTCTCCTTTTCGTCGCAGAGAGAAACCGATGGCAAGCCATACTACACGTTCGAGTTTCTTGCCAAGGACAAAACGTATACGCGACATGCGCTGGCAGCAGTCACAGTTGCGAACGGTAAAAGCTTGCCTCGCATCGTAATGTCCACTAAGCTTTTGAGATCGCAGGCAAATTCTACGCGCTCGTCACCGGAGCTAACGAGAGACGATGGAACAAGATGCGCGACCGGCTGCACAGCGTTGTCGACTCGTTCAGGCTCTTGGAATACTGAGTGAGCCTTTCTTCTTTTGTTTGTACTCACGGTCTTTCACGCACGTAGATCCTCCAATCGTCGAATAGCCACTTCTAAAGTATCCTCGTCCTGGTTTGCAAAGCAAAACCGGAACCAGCCTGGCTCCGGGGAGTGGCAAGCACTCCCAGGAGTTAAGTTCAGCCCAACCTCGTACACCACTTTCTTCCACAGCTCGGTCTCTGCTTCTTCCGTGGGTGCCTTTAGGAATCTTGACAAGTCTATCCAGCAATAGAAACCAGCGTTGCCTTTCGCGCAGCCGGTACCTGTGTTTCTCAGCATTTCCACCACCCAGTCTCGTCTAGCTTTCAACCTCTTCTTATTCTCTCGCAGGTAGTCACGAACGAACTCCTTGTCCGAGAGAAAAGCACTGACGAAGCACTGCGTCTGCGTTGAAACCGAGCAAAACCTTCCCAGTCTAGCTGCCGTTGATAGAACCTGCTTGTTCCAAGAGTAGAGTGCCCCGACTCTCAGTCCAGGGAGTCCCAGGTCCTTGGATATGCCGTAGACCATATGGACGCTGGCTCGGTCGTAGTCCCCGGATTCCATGATTTTGGCAATGCTGACAAACTCCGGATCGTCGAAGGTGGAGCCGGCATAAACTTCATCGCAGATGAGGTGAATCCCTTCGCTCTTGGTGAACTCCAGCATCTGCTTGAGCGTATCAGCTTGCAAGGAATTGCCGACGGGGTTGCTGGGTGACGCTACGAGCAGCGCGCGGACCTTCTTCCCGAGCTTGGCGCATTGATGGAAAGCCGCCTTGAGCGACGCTGGCGTTACGTTGAATCCATTGGCGCTGCTGCTCTCCACGGGAGTGAGCTCTACGTCGCTCCTCCATCGGCTGTCTCTTGTAAAACTGGCAAACCAAAGTAAGAATGGCAAGTCACGAGAAATCTTTAAGAGCTGGAAACTATGAAGCAAGCAGGCAAAGTTTTCTTTGTTTTCTAGAGCTAGAGCTGCGAGAAATGAGCTTGCAAAGAGCTAAGGATGCATGTAAGAGATGGATGCTAGAGAGTTTACCCGGGATAATAAGGCGCTGGAACCAGGAACACATCTCCCGCTTGAGCCAGGCAAAAGCTTAGCACGTCAATGGCTGCCGTCGCACCGGCAGTCATCACAATGTTGTCTGGATCGAAAGCTACTTGGCCTCCTCCAAGTACTTCTTCCATGAAGCTCGCGAAAACCTGGAAGCAAGAGCCAGGAGTTAGCTAGAACACAAGAGAGATCGCTCCATACTTTTCGAAAGCTCGCTAGTCCGGCATAGTCTGGATACACGGCAATCTCGTCCACTGGAAATCTTGTAGCTTCTGGATGTGAATCAAGCCATTGTTCCAGCAAATCCAAAGAAAGCTGCCTCGATCAATCCAAACCAAGCAAACAAGATTAGAAGAGCTCATGGAACCAGGAAATTTTCCATCACCTTGGATTCCGCCAAGCCTAGCTGAATGCATCCACCCGGATTGAAGACCGGATCGTATGGATTTCTTTGGAATTCCTTCCAGCCGAGGTAGTATGGAGAATCGCCGCCATCGAGAACGCTAGAACATCTCTTGGAAATGCTGCTAGCGCTCTTCTTCTTGATAATCGAGCCGCTCGATGGTGCTAGCTCGTCGGAATAGGTCTCCATGGCCTTGGAAGTGGTCTGATTGGGAGGGAAGAACCCTAAATCTCGAAATATTTTCATCTTCTTCTTATGGTAAGAAGGCGCTGTGCGCATCGATCGATCGGTTCTAATAGGAAATGCTTTGCAGGGATTCCAGCAGCAATTGGAGGGCTATGTCGAGCAGATCGCCCAAGTAAGTCTTACCGAGCACAAATCTCTCTAAATTTTTCTCTTTCGCTATAGTATCATGATCCGGCAATGCAAGGGCTAGCTCGAGCACTGCTGCCTGTGGAGGAATTCGAGGAAAAGGCCGCCATCGCGCTTGCCAAGGTGAGCGCTACTTCGTGTTTCTTCCTCTTGATTTTCTTTGTTCTTCTCAAGGAAGGGAAGATCCAGCCAACCAAAGAAGAAGAGAAGCATTTTTTTCTCATTCAGTTGCTCCACTGGTTCAAGACATCTTTCAAGTTAGTTCGTTTGCTGGCTCTTCTTTCCCAAATTTCTTTTTTTCTGAAAGAGCTCTGGATTTGCAGGTGGGTGAATTCACCCTCGTGTGATTTCTGTGCATCCAACACGCATCACATAGGCATGGGAGAACCAAGTGCCGAGGATCTCCAATTTGGAGCCAGCCGTGTAGAGATTCACAGGTGTTTCCAGCTGAAAGTTTCGAGCATCTACAAACGTTTTAACTCCTCACCTTGCAGTTGCGAGCTTTGTGGAACAGTCACTCGATTTCCACGCTACAACAGTCCCGCAAAGGTAAAGTTGACTGGTTCCACTCGCTTGAATGCTGCCACTGATTTTATAGTATGAACTTTCTCTTGTCAAATGAAGCTCATGGAGACACAATGCGGTCGCTGTGGAGAATGGGCCAATTGTTTTACGTTCTACTGCGTTGCGCTAGGCTACAATGCTCGTCTGGTAACGCCGTGGTCATAGAATCTGTTGGTTCATGCTTGTAACTCTTGCTTTTGTGCAGGTCCTTGACTTCACGGATCACGTCTGGACAGAGTTCCATTCTCCTTATCTCGGAAGGTATGCTCTCCCGACCTCTTATAAAGCTCTTGAAGTGCTTGTGCAGATGGGTGCACTTGGATCCGTGTGAGGCCTCGTATGATACTCCGCTTCTCTACGAGAAAGGGTACTATGTGACAGTTCTTTTTCTCACGCTAACACCGGACTTGCGTCAAGATGGGGAAAGAAGCTGAACTACGTCATTCCGTTGCGAAAGATGGAGTTTATGATGTTACAAAACGATACACACGGAAGTGGGCAGAGGTACAAACTATATTCCTGTATTTGTGTGGCGCTTCTTTGACTTTGTTGTAAAAGGTAGTGTCTCGCAGGAACTTGGTAAGCGAAGAGACCGCGGAGGAGGTAGTAGCACTGCTAACAGCGATTCAAAGGAGCAAACTGGAACCCGAGGAGCTCGATATACTTGAGCAACGTGACAGGCAAGAGGCTGAAGAGCTCTCTGGAGCTCAAGCCAGCCCAGAGACGGATCAACACCTACCTGGTCGCCAGAGTGGCTCAAAAGAATGGCGTGAAGCCAGAGGAGAAATGGGAGTGCAGCATATTGAGTCCGATCGTAGCTTCTGCCCGGCAAGGCTATGCGCAGATGAGCACGTCGGTAAAATCTACCAAGCAATCGGGCTGTTATGCTCTCAAGAAAGAAGCACGGCAGAAAAAGAGCTGGCACTTCTCCACGACTTATTGATCAAGCTTAAGAGGCAGCCATTCAGAGCGAGAAGTGCGAAGCTGGAATCCACAGACGAAACTCAGCTGAACTTCCTGCAAAGCAAAGGCGGTGCGGCATGGCTGGATGGCATTGGAATGAAGCAAGCGAGCGATGGAAGTGGGGGAATGCAAGTTACTCTCAAGGAACCTCCAGGAAAGGCTGCTCTGGCTCTTGCCACAGCTCTTGAGAACGTCGAGAAAGTCGCGAAGAAGCTCGCATCCCAGGACATGAGTTCGCTGCAGCTGATGTTACAAGGAAGGAGGCTTTGCGGTGGCTCGGTTTATGCCACCGGCGAACAGATGCCCTCTGGAACGGTATGTTTTCTCGTTTCCCTTGGTTCTTTCCTTCGCTTAAAACGAAGTTTATCGTTTGCAGGCTAGCGCAGCTTTTGACGGCCACTACTCCACAAAATGGGAAGAACCAGAAGGAGCAAAAGGTTGGCGAAGTTTTTTATTTTTCTCGTATCTAGAATTGAAACAGGTGTGCTTGTAGGCGCGACTCTTGTTTACCATTTGCATGGTAACGCATCTCAACACATTGTTGGATACGACTTAACATCCGCAAACGACTGCCCCGAGAGAGATCCTTCGGACTGGTAACGTGAATCAATCGCCATTGTTATGGATCAGAGTTTTTCCTTTTGATTGCTTTTCCAGGATGCTCGAGGGAAGCTGCGATGGGGGTAAGACCTGGCAACTCCTTGACAAGCGAAGTGGAGAGCTATTTCAAGAGCGCTACGAGAGACGATGCTTTATAGTTGCCAAAGAGTCCCAGTTTCCTTGCAGCGTTCTAAGGTAAAACCAGGTTTCATGCGTGTTTACCCTCAAATTCTCTCATTGACGCAGGCTCCAATTCGCAGCCGTAAGAGAGACTGTAAAAACGTCGAGGCTCCAGCTTTCCTCCATAGACTTTTACATTCACAATTAACAACAGCATTTGTTTTACCTACCATTGCCTACAAAAAACGTAGACTTTGACGATCAAAACTATTTATCATCACGAACTAGTGTTGAGAGTGGGATTCGAAGCCCCGTCGGACTAAAACCTTAATCCAGTGCCTCAGCTTTGTTCTTTTTCTTAATCTAAAAGATTGGTTTAAAAATCCTTTCAACCTTCCACTGCATGATCATGTTAAGGCCTAGAAAACACTAATCTAGAAAACATTAAAAACATTGATACATGTGGTAAACTTCATCTAGAAGAAATGTTTTATAAGAAAAAAATTACAAACTTTTAAGGCATTGGGGGTGGGTTTGGAATGTTAAACCCCTGAAAAAAGAAGTTGAGGTTGCTAGGTCTTGCAATATTGTAAGATCCATGCCAAAAATTCTTCATCACAAACCAATAACCAGCTTCAGTGAAATGGTTGCTATCAAAGTATAAGTAATCTTTAGGATTGTTGCAGACGAACTTAGTGTATTTATTTTTGTGATCTGGCTTCCAATCATGTTTATCAGCGTCCCCACAAAATTCTGCTGCATTAAATGGCCCACCACCACAACATGCCCTTTCTGCTTCTTTGAAACCTAGATGGGCACACACAAATATTAATATGAATATGAATGGAGAGATAATTTGTGTTTCTTACCGTATTTCTGAGGATTCCTTAGCACGTTCAGTATAATTGGAGATGGATTTAATGTTGCAATGTTCAAGTCACGATAGTCATTGTGTAACTTCACAGCAAGATTCAAGAGTTTAGTGTTATATGAATCCACAAGAGTGTTAATGATTCCTATGCAGCCCTCTGGAGTTAAATTTGTATTCCTGCTTTGTGCTGATACTGCTCTCAAGTTAGGAGTACACCCAATCGGTGGTGCTAGCAGAATTATGATATGCTTAATGCCATAATTGTAAATTTCCTATAAATCAAAAGAGACATCCAAAGGTTTTGAAGTTAGTGAATGTAATACTCGAGTACCTGAATAGCACTTGAATATGCTTGTATCATCTCCTGGAACAAGAATGAGCTGGGAACAGCATTAGCAATATCATTAGCTCCCATGCTAAACAATGCCACTGAATTGCGCAAGAGCTGGTTCGTAAACTCCACACCCTTCTCTTTTTTGTACTCATTTGTGACGTTGTGAAACTGGCGCAGCTGCTGCTTCATTGAAATAACTCCCTGATAAAACCCAAAAAGAATGAATCAAAATCAACTATTTCTGAGGGGAATATGGGAGTATACGTACTTGATGGGCATTCGTTTCATCTAACAAGCCTGCACCAGCAGATGCAAAGTTCACCCCACTGGAAAAGTTGGCGCCAGGCTCGAGAAAAGGTGGCAACAATGGAAGGCCTAGTGCTTGAGCCAGGAAATCAGCAATCGTTCTACCATCCGTCCAACGCCCTGTTGGCTTGCTGAAGTAAGTCTTTCCATATGGCGGAATTGCGCTAACAATCTTGGAGCCCGGGATGTACGTGTTCTGTCCTCCATCTAACGCTGAGTCCCCAAAAACAAATAGGCCTTGTACTGGAGGATTCGTGCTAGCAGCTTGGGATATCGAGATGCATGCAACCAAAAGAATGACAAGAACCCTGAATGCTTCCATCTCTCAACTAGAACTTCTATCTTACTTCTACGATTGTGGTATTCTCTGGTTTTATAATATGGAATAGATTTCCTTGTATGGAATAGCCATGTATGGTATGGCCATGTTCGGTAAAAACAACCGATAACCCAATCAACGCTTATTATAACCACCTTAACCAGCACAATCCAAATTAACTGGCAGTCTTGCTTGTCATATCGCTTAAGAAAAAGCGAAAAAAAGGAGATTTCTCTACACATGATCCACATCCATTCTCTCGACATGACTTATCTTGAGCTCCCGGTCGCAGTACTCGACCACTCTCTGGAGAACCAAGTCGCCATCGGCATCGTGCTTCACAGCGACATGGCACGACAGCAAAACTTTGCCGGTGGTCACGGACCATATGTGGAGCTCGTGAACTCCCAGGACGTCGGGATGAGCGAGCTCGAGGGAGAAAAAAATGGTTCTCTTCTTCTTTGGTTGGCTGGATCTTCCTTCCTTGAGAAGAACAAAGAAAATCAAGGAAGAGGAAGAAACAAGCGGCAGTTGCTCCACTGGTTCAAGACATCTTTCAAGTTAGTTCGTTTGCTGGCTCTTCTTTCCCAAATTTCTTTTTTTCTGAAAGAGCTCTGGATTTGCAGGTGGGTGAATTCAACCTCGTTTGATTTCTGTGCATCCAACACGCATCACATAGGCATGGGAGGACCAAGTGCCGAGGATCTCCAATTTGGAGCCAGCCGTGTAGAGATTCACAGGTGTTTCCAGCTGAAAGTTTCGAGCATCTACAAACGTTTTAACTCCTCACCCTGCAGTTGCGAGCTTTGTGGAACAGTCACTCGATTTCCACGCTACAACAGTCCGGCGAAGGTAAAGTTGACTGGTTCCACTCGCTTGAATGCTGCCACTGATTTTATAGTATGAACTTTCTCTTGTCAAATGAAGCTCATGGAGACACAATGCGGTCGCTGTGGAGAATGGGCCAATTGTTTTACATTCTACTGCGTTGCGCTAGGCTACAATGCTCGTCTGGTAACGCCGTGGTCATAGAATCTGTTGGTTCATGCTTGTAACTCTTGCTTTTGTGCAGGTCCTTGACTTCACGGATCACGTCTGGACAGAGTTCCATTCTCCTTATCTCGGAAGGTATGCTCTCCCGACCTCTTATAAAGCTCTTGAAGTGCTTGTGCAGATGGGTGCACTTGGATCCGTGTGAGGCCTCGTATGATACTCCGCTTCTCTACGAGAAAGGGTACTATGTGACAGTTCTTTTTCTCACGCTAACACCGGACTTGCGTCAAGATGGGGAAAGAAGCTGAACTACGTCATTCCGTTGCGAAAGATGGAGTTCATGATGTTACAAAACGATACACACGGAAGTGGGCAGAGGTACAAACTATATTCTTGTATTTATGTTGTAAAAGGTAGTGTCTCGCAGGAACTTGGTAAGCGAAGAGACCGCGGAGGAGGTAGTAGCACTGCTAACAGCGATTCAAAGGAGCAAACTGGAACCCGAGGAGCTCGATATACTTGAGCAACGTGACAGGCAAGAGGCTGAAGAGCTCTCTGGAGCTCAAGCCAGCCCAGAGACGGATCAACACCTACCTGGTCGCCAGAGTGGCTCAAAAGAATGGCGTGAAGCCAGAGGAGAAATGGGAGTACAGCATATTGAGTCCGATCATAGCTTCTGCCCGGCAAGGCTATGCGCAGATGAGCACGTCGGTAAAATCTACCAAGCAATCGGGCTGTTATGCTCTCAAGAAAGAAGCACGGCTGAAAAAGAGCAGGCACTTCTCCACGACTTATTGATCAAGCTTAAGAGGCAGCCATTCAGAGCGAGAAGTGCGAAGCTGGAATCCACAGACGAAACTCAACTGAACTTCCTGCAAAGCAAAGGTGGTGCGGCATGGCTGGATGGCATTGGAATGAAGCAAGCGAGCGATGGAAGTGGGGGAATGCAAAGGAACGTCCAGGAAAGGCTGCTCTGGCTCTTGCCACAGCTCTTGAGAACGTCGAGAAAGCCACGAAGAAGCTCGCATCCCACCCTGCAGCTGATGTTACAAGGAAGGAGGCTTTGCGGTGGCTCGGTTTATGCCACCGGCGAACAGAAGCCCTCTGGAACGGTATGTTTTCTCGTTTCCCTTGGTTCTTTCCTTCGCTTAAAACGAAGTTTATCGTTTGCAGGCTAGCGCAGCTTTTGAAGGCCACTACTCCACAAAATGGGAAGAACCAGAAGGAGCAAAAGGTTGGCGAAGTTTTTTATTTTTTTCGTATCTAGAATTGAAACAGGTGTGCTTGTAGGCGCGACTCTTGTTTACCATTTGCATGGTAACGCATCTCAACACATTGTTGGATACGACTTAACATCCGCAAACGACTGCCCCGAGAGAGATCCTTTGGACTGGTAACGTGAATCAATTGCCATTGTTATGGATCAGAGTTGTTCCTTTTGATTGCTTTTACAGGATGCTCGAGGGAAGCTGCGATGGGGGTAAGACCTGGCAACTCCTTGACAAGCGAAGTGGAGAGCTATTTCAAGAATGCTACGAGAGACGATGCTTTATAGTTGCCAAAGAGTCCCAGTTTCCTTGCAGTGTTCTTAGGTAAAACCAGGTTTCATGCGTGTTTACCCTCAAATTCTCTCATTGACGCAGGCTCCAATTCGCAGCCGTAAGAGAGACTGTAAAAACGTCGAGGCTCCAGCTTTCCTCCATGAGCTTTTACATTCACAATTAACAACAGCATTTGTTTTACCTACCATTGCCTAGAAAAAACGTAGACTTTGACGATCAAAACGATTTATCATCACGAACTAGTGTTGAGAGTGGGATTCGAAGCCCCATCGGACTAAAACCTTAATCCAGTGCCTCAGCTTTGTTCTTTTTCTTAATCTAAAAGATTGACTTAAAAATCCTCATGAGGTTGTTAATGTTAAGGCCTAGAAAGCACTAATCTAGAAAACATTAACAACATTGATGGTAAACTTCAAGAAAAAAATTACAAACTTTTAAGGCATTGGGGGTGGGTTTGGAATGTTAAACCCCTGAAAAAAGAAGTTGAGGTTGCTAGGTCTTGCAATATTGTAAGATCCATGCCAAAAATTCTTCATCACAAACCAATAACCAGCTTCAGTGAAATGGTTGCTATCAAAGTATAAGTAATCTTTAGGATTGTTGCATACGAACTTAGTGTATTTATTTTTGTGATTTGGCTTCCAATCATGTTTATCAGCGTCCCCACAAAATTCTGCTGCATTAAATGGCCCACCACCACAACATGCCTTTTCTGCTTCTTTGAAACCTAGATGTGGCACACACAAATATTAATATGAATATGAATGGAGAGATAATTTGTGTTTCTTACCGTATTTCTGAGGATTCCTTAGCACGTTCAGTATAATTGGAGATGGATTTAATGTTGCAATGTTCAAGTCACGATAGTCATTGTGTAACTTCACAGCAAGATTCAAGAGTTTAGTGTTATATGAATCCACAAGAGTGTTAATGATTCCTATGCAGCCCTCTGGAGTTAAATTGGTATTCCTGCTTTGTGCTGATACCGCTCTCAAGTTAGGAGTACACCCAATCGGTGGTGCTAGCAGAATTATGATATGCTTAATGCCATAATTGTAAATTTCCTATAAATCAAAAGAGACATCCAAAGGTTTTGAAGTTAGTGAATGTAATACTCGAGTACCTGAATAGCACTTGAATATGCTTGTATCATCTCCTGGAACAAGAATGAGCTGGGAACAGCATTAGCAATATCATTAGCTCCCATGCTAAACAATGCCACTGAATTGCGCAAGAGCTGGTTCGTAAACTCCACACCCTTCTCTTTTTTGTACTCATTTGTGACGTTGTGAAACTGGCGCAGCTGCTGCTTCATTGAAATAACTCCCTGATAAAACCCAAAAAGAATGAATCAAAATCAACTATTTCTGAGGGGAATATGGGAGTATACGTACTTGATGGGCATTCGTTTCATCTAACAAGCCTGCACCAGCAGATGCAAAGTTCACCCCACTGGAAAAGTTGGCGCCAGGCTCGAGAAAAGGTGGCAACAATGGAAGGCCTAGTGCTTGAGCCAGGAAATCAGCAATCGTTCTACCATCCGTCCAACGCCCTGTTGGCTTGCTGAAGTAAGTCTTTCCATACGGCGGAATTGCGCTAACAATCTTGGAGCCCGGGATGTACGTGTTCTGTCCTCCATCTAACGCTGAGTCCCCAAAAACAAACAGGCCTTGTACTGGAGGATTCGTGCTAGCAGCTTGGGATATCGAGATGCATGCAACCAAAACAATGACAAGAACCTTGAATGGTTCCATCTCTCAACTAGAACTTCTATCTTACTTTTACGATTGTGGTATTCTCCGGTTTTATATGGAATAGATTTCCTTGTATGGAATAGCCATGTATGGTATGGCCATGTTCGGTAAAAATTATTATATGTTTTGTTTAGCGCAATGGTTTCAAGAATATGCTAGTACAACCGTCAAGATTAATATAAAATGCTATTCTAAAGAGGGTAAAGACAACCGATAACCCAATCAACGCTTATTATAACCACCTTAACCAGCACAATCCAAATTAACTGGCAGTCTTGCTTGTCATATCGCTCAAGAAAAAGCCAAAAAAAAAGGAGATTTCTCTACACATGATCCACATCCATTCTCTCAATTTGCACCGTGACATGACTTATCTTGAGCTCCCGGTCGCAGTACTCGACCACTCTCTGGAGAACCAAGTCGCCATCGGCATCGTGCTTCACAGCGACATGGCACGACAGCAAAACTTTGCCGGTGGTCACGGACCATATGTGGAGCTCGTGAACTCCCAGGACGTCGGGATGAGCGAGCTCGAGCGAGAAAAAAATGGTTCTCTTCTTCTTTGGTTGGCTGGATCTTCCTTCCTTGAGAAGAACAAAGAAAATCAAGGAAGAGGAAGAAACAAGCGGCAGTTGCTCCACTGGTTCAAGACATCTTTCAAGTTAGTTCGTTTGCTGGCTCTTCTTTCCCAAATTTCTTTTTTCCTGAAAGAGCTCTGGATTTGCAGGTGGGTGAATTCAACCTCGTTTGATTTCTGTGCATCCAACACGCATCACATAGGCATGGGAGAACCAAGTGCCGAGGATCTCCAATTTGGAGCCAGCCGTGTAGAGATTCACAGGTGTTTCCAGCTGAAAGTTTCGAGCATCTACAAACGTTTTAACTCCTCACCCTGCAGTTGCGAGCTTTGTGGAACAGTCACTCGATTTCCACGCTACAACAGTCCGGCGAAGGTAAAGTTGACTGGTTCCACTCGCTTGAATGCTGCCATTGATTTTATAGTATGAACTTTCTCTTGTCAAATGAAGCTCATGGAGACACAATGCGGTCGCTGTGGAGAATGGGCCAATTGTTTTACATTCTACTGCGTTGCGCTAGGCTACAATGCTCGTCTGGTAACGCCGTGGTCATAGAATCTGTTGGTTCATGCTTGTAACTCTTGCTTTTGTGCAGGTCCTTGACTTCACGGATCACGTCTGGACAGAGTTCCATTCTCCTTATCTCGGAAGGTATGTTCTCCCGACCTCTTATAAAGCTCTTGAAGTGCTTGTCCAGATGGGTGCACTTGGATCCGTGTGAGGCCTCGTATGATACTCCGCTTCTTTACGAGAAAGGGTACTATGTGACAGTTCTTTTTCTCACGCACTTGCGTCAAGATGGGGAAAGAAGCTGAACTACGTCATTGCCGTTGCGAAAGATGGAGTTTATGATGTTACAAAACGATACACACGGAAGTGGCCAGAGGTACGAACTATATTCCTGTATTTGTGTGGCGCTTCTTTGACTTTGTTGTAAAAGGTAGTGTCTCGCAGGAACTTGGTAAGCGAAGAGACCGCGGAGGAGGTAGTAGCACTGCTAACAGCGATTCAAAGGAGCAAACTGGAACCTGAGGAGCTCGATATACTTGAGCAACGTGACAGGCAAGAGGCTGAAGAGCTCTCTGGAGCTCAAGCCAGCCCAGAGACGGATCAACACCTACCTGGTCGCCAGAGTGGGTCAAAAGAATGGCGTGAAGCCAGAGGAGAAATGGGAGTCCAGCATATTGAGTCCGATCGTAGCTTCTGCTCGGCAAGGCTATGCGCAGATGAGCACGTCGGTAAAATCTACCAAGCAATCGGGCTGTTATGCTCTCAAGAAAGAAGTGCGGCAGAAAAAGAGCTGGCACTTCTCCACGACTTATTGATCAAGCTTAAGAGGCAGTCATTCAGAGCGAGAAGTGCAAAGATGGAATCCACAGACGAAACTCAGCTGAACTTCCTGCAAAGCAAAGGCAGTGCGGCATGGCTGGATGGCATTGGAATGAAGCAAGCGAGCGATGGAAGTGGGGGAATGCAAGTTACTCTCAAGGAACCTCCAGGAAAGGCTGCTCTGGCTCTTGCCACAGCTCTTGAGAACGTCGAGAAAGTCGCGAAGAAGCTCGCATCCCAGGACATGAGTTCGCTGCAGCTGATGTTACAAGGAAGGAGGCTTTGGAGTGGAGGGTTTCCTCAGAGAGTTGAGGATGTGATCCAGATGAGTGTTTGATGTAACAAACGAGCTAATGTAGTTGTGGTAAATAACTATAGTTAGGATCACGGGAAAAATGCAAACTCCAAAACAATAAAAGTTTATGCCACTGGCAAATAGATGCCCTCTAGAACAGTATGTTTTCTCGTTTCCCTTGGTTCTTTCCTTCACTTAAAATGAAGTTTATCGTTTGCAGGCTAGCACAGCTTTTGACGGCCACTACTCCACAAAATGGGAAGAACCAGAAGGAGCAAAAGGTTGGCGAAGTTTTTTATTTTTTTCGTATCTAGAATTGAAACAGGTGTGCTTGTAGGCGCAACTCTTGTTTACCATTTGCATGGTAACACGTCTCAACACATTGTTGGATACGACTTAACATCCGCAAACGACTGCCCCAAGAGAGATCCTTTGGACTGGTAATGTTAATCAATTGCCATTGTTATGGATCAGAGTTTTTCCTTTTGATTGCTTTTCCAGGATGCTCGAGGGAAGCTGCGATGGGGGGTAAGACCTGGCAACTCCTTGACAAGCGAAGTGGAGAGCTATTTCAAGAGCGCTACGAGAGACGATGCTTTATAGTTGCCAAAGAGTCCCAGTTTCCTTGCAGCGTTCTAAGGTAAAACCAGGTTTCATGCGTGTTTACCCTCAAATTCTCTCATTGACGCAGGCTCCAATTCGCAGCCGTAAGAGAGACGTAAAAACGTCGAGGCTCCAGCTTTCCTCCATAGGCTTTTACATTCACAATTAACAACAGCATTTGTTTTACCTACCATTGCCTACAAAAAACGTAGACTTTGACGATCAAAACTATTTATCATCACGAACTAGTGTTGAGAGTGGGATTCAAAGCCCCGTCGGACTAACCTTAATCCAGTGCCTCAGCTTTGTTCTTTTTCTTAATCTAAAAGATTGGTTTAAAAATCCTTTCAACCTTCCACTGCATGATCATGTTAAGGCCTAGAAAACACTAATCTAGAAAACATTAATAACATTGATACATGTGGTCTAGAAGAAATGTTTTATATGAAATAAAATACAAACTTTTAAGGCGTTGGGGGTGGGTTTGGAATGTTAAACCCCTGAAAAAAGAAGTTGAGGTTGCTAGGTCTTGCAATATTGTAAGATCCATGCCAAAAATTCTTCATCACAAACCAATAACCAGCTTCAGTGAAATGGTTGCTATCAAAGTATAAGTAATCTTTAGGATTGTTGCAGATGAACTTAGTGTATTTATTTTTGTGATCTGGCTTCCAATCATGTTTATCAGCGTCCCCACAAAATTCTGCTGCATTAAATGGCCCACCACCACAACATGCCTTTTCTGCTTCTTTGAAACCTAGACGGACACACACAAATATTAATATGAATATGAATGGAGAGATAATTTGTGTTTCTTACCGTATTTCTGAGGATTCCTTAGCACGTTCAGTATAATTGGAGATGGATTTAATGTTGCAATGTTCAAGTCACGATAGTCATTGTGTAACTTCACAGCAAGATTCAAGAGTTTAGTGTTATATGAATCCACAAGAGTGTTAATGATTCCTATGCAGCCCTCTGGAGTTAAATTGGTATTCCTGCTTTGTGCTGATACCGCTCTCAAGTTAGGAGTACACCCAATCGGTGGTGCTAGCAGAATTATGATATGCTTAATGCCATAATTGTAAATTTCCTATAAATCAAAAGAGACATCCAAAGGTTTTGAAGTTAGTGAATGTAATACTCGAGTACCTGAATAGCACTTGAATATGTTTGTATCATCTCCTGGAACAAGAATGAGCTGGGAACAGCATTAGCAATATCATTAGCTCCCATGCTAAACAATGCCACTGAATTGCGCAAGAGCTGGTTCGTAAACTCCACACCCTTCTCTTTTTTGTACTCATTTGTGACGTTGCGAAACTGGCGCAGCTGCTGCTTCATTGAAATAACTCCCTGATAAAACCCAAAAAGAATGAATCAAAATCAACTATTTCTGAGGGGAATATGGGAGTATACGTACTTGATGGGCATTCGTTTCATCTAACAAGCCTGCACCAGCAGATGCAAAGTTCACCCCATTGGAAAAGTTGGCACCAGGCTCGAGAAAAGGTGGCAACAATGGAAGGCCTAGTGCTTGAGCCAGGAAATCAGCAATCGTTCTACCATCCGTCCAACGCCCTGTTGGCTTGCTGAAGTAAGTCTTTCCATACGGCGGAATTGCGCTAACAATCTTGGAGCCCGGGATGTACGTGTTCTGTCCTCCATCTAACGCTGAGTCCCCAAAAACAAACAGGCCTTGTACAGGAGGATTCGTGCTAGCAGCTTGGGATATCGAGATGCATGCAACCAAAACAATGACAAGAACCCTGAATGCTTCCATCTCTCAACTAGAACTTCTATCTTACTTTTACGATTGTGGTATTCTCCGGTTTTATAATTAGGAATAGATTTCCTTGTATGGAATAGCCATGTATGGTATGGCCATGTTCGGTAAAAATTATTATATGTTTTGTTTAGCGCAATGGTTTCAAGAATATGCTAGTACAACCGTCAAGATTAATATAAAATGCTATTCTAAAGAGGGTTTTGTACCCAGCACAATTTAATTAACATCATATAAATCTTGGCTACTTAGTAGTCTTGCATTTCTTACTCCCCAACTCTGTGTCATATCGCTTAAGAAAAAGCGAAAAAAAGGAGATTTCTCTACACATGATCCACATCCATTCTCTCAATTTGCACCGTGACATGACTTATCTTGAGCTCCCGGTCGCAGTACTCGACCACTCTCTGGAGAACCAAGTCGCCATCGGCATCGTGCTTCACAGCGACATGGCACGACAGCAAAACTTTGCCGGTGGTCACGGACCATATGTGGAGCTCGTGAACTCCCAGGACGTCGGGATGAGCGAGCTCGAGGGAGAAAAAAATGGTTCTCTTCTTCTTTGGTTGGCTGGATCTTCCTTCCTTGAGAAGAACAAAGAAAATCAAGGAAGAGGAAGAAACAAGCGGCAGTTGCTCCACTGGTTCAAGACATCTTTCAAGTTAGTTCGTTTGCTGGCTCTTCTTTCCCAAATTTCTTTTTTTCTGAAAGAGCTCTGGATTTGCAGGTGGGTGAATTCAACCTCGTTTGATTTCTGTGCATCCAACACGCATCACATAGGCATGGGAGGACCAAGTGCCGAGGATCTCCAATTTGGAGCCAGCCGTGTAGAGATTCACAGGTGTTTCCAGCTGAAAGTTTCGAGCATCTACAAACGTTTTAACTCCTCACCCTGCAGTTGCGAGCTTTGTGGAACAGTCACTCGATTTCCACGCTACAACAGTCCCGCGAAGGTAAAGTTGACTGGTTCCACTCGCTTGAATGCTGCCACTGATTTTATTTATAGTATGAACTTTCTATTGTCAAATGAAGCTCATGGAGACACAATGCGGTCGCTGTGGAGAATGGGCCAATTGTTTTACGTTCTACTGCGTTGCGCTAGGCTACAATGCTCGTCTGGTAACGCCGTGGTCATAGAATCTGTTGGTTCATGCTTGTAACTCTTGCTTTTGTGCAGGTCCTTGACTTCACGGATCACGTCTGGACAGAGTTCCATTCTCCTTATCTCGGAAGGTATGCTCTCCCGACCTCTTATAAAGCTCTTGAAGTGCTTGTGCAGATGGGTGCACTTGGATCCGTGTGAGGCCTCGTATGATACTCCGCTTCTTTACGAGAAAGGGTACTATGTGACATTTCTTTTTCTCACGCTAACACCGGACTTGCGTCAAGATGGGGAAAGAAGCTGAACTACGTCATTGCCGTTGCGAAAGATGGAGTTTATGATGTTACAAAACGATACACACGGAAGTGGCCAGAGGTACAAACTATATTCCTGTATTTGTGTGGCGCTTCTTTGACTTTGTTGTAAAAGGTAGTGTCTCGCAGGAACTTGGTAAGCGAAGAGACCGCGGAGGAGGTAGTAGCACTGCTAACAGCGATTCAAAGGAGCAAACTGGAACCCGAGGAGCTCGATATACTTGAGCAACGTGACAGGCAAGAGGCTGAAGAGCTCTCTGGAGCTCAAGCCAGCCCAGAGACGGATCAACACCTACCTGGTCGCCAGAGTGGCTCAAAAGAATGGCGTGAAGCCAGAGGAGAAATGGGAGTGCAGCATATTGAGTCCGATCGTAGCTTCTGCCCGGCAAGGCTATGCGCAGATGAGCACGTCGGTAAAATCTACCATGCAATCGGGCCGTTATGCTCTCAAGAAAGAAGCACGGCAGAAAAAGAGCTGGCACTTCTCCACGACTTATTGATCAAGCTTAAGAGGCAGCCATTCAGAGCGAGAAGTGCGAAGCTGGAATCCACAGACGAAACTCAGCTGAACTTCCTGCAAAGCAAAGGCGGTGCGGCATGGCTGGATGGCATTGGAATGAAGCAAGCGAGCGATGGAAGGGGGGGAATGCAAGTTACTCTCAAGGAACCTCCAGGAAAGGCTGCTCTGGCTCTTGCCACAGCTCTTGAGAACGTTGAGAAAGTCACGAAGAAGCTCGCATCCCACGCTGCAGCTGATGTTACAAGGATGGAGGCTTTGCGGTGGCTCGGTTTATGCCACCGGCGAACAGATGCCCTCTGGAACGGTATGTTTTCTCGTTTCCCTTGGTTCTTTCCTTCGCTTAAAACGAAGTTTATCGTTTGCAGGCTAGCGCAGCTTTTGACGGCCACTACTCCACAAAATGCCAGAAGGAGCAAAAGGTTGGCGAAGTTTTTTATTTTTTTCGGATCTAGAATTGAAACAGGTGTGCTTGTAGGCGCGACTCTTGTTTACCATTTGCATGGTAACGCATCTCAACACATTGTTGGATACGACTTAACATCCGCAAACGGCTGCCCCGAGAGAGATGGTAACGTGAATCAATCGCCATTGTTATGGATCAGAGTTTTTCCTTTTGATTGCTTTTCCAGGATGCTCGAGGGCAGCTGCGATGGGGGTAAGACCTGGCAACTCCTTGACAAGCGAAGTGGAGAGCTATTTCAAGAACGCTACGAGAGACGATGCTTTATAGTTGCCAAAGAGTCCCAGTTTCCTTGCAGTGTTCTAAGGTAAAACCAGGTTTCATGCGTGTTTACCCTCAAATTCTCTCATTGACGCAGGCTCCAATTCGCAGCCGTAAGAGAGACTGTTACATTCAGCATTTGTTTTACCTACCATTGCCTACAAAAAACGTAGACTTTGACGATCAAAACGATTTATCATCACGAACTAGTGTTGAGAGTGGGATTCGAACCCCCGTCGGACTAAAACCTTAATCCAGTGCCTCAGCTTTGTTCTTTTTCTTAATCTAAAAGATTGATTTAAAAATCCTTCCAACCTTCCATTGCATGAGGTTGTTAATGTTAAGGCCTAGAAAACACTAATCTAGAAAACATTAACAACATTGATACATGTGGTAAACTTCATCTAGAAGAAATGTTTTAAAAAATTACAAACTTTTAAGGCATTGGGGGTGGGTTTGGAATGTTAAACCCCTGAAAAAAGAAGTTGAGGTTGCTAGGTCTTGCAATATTGTAAGATCCATGCCAAAAATTCTTCATCACAAACCAATAACCAGCTTCAGTGAAATGGTTGCTATCAAAGTATAAGTAATCTTTAGGATTGTTGCAGACGAACTTAGTGTATTTATTTTTGTGATCTGGCTTCCAATCATGTTTATCAGCGTCCCCACAAAATTCTGCTGCATTAAATGGCCCACCACCACAACATGCCTTTTCTGCTTCTTTGAAACCTAGATGGGCACACACAAATATTAATATGAATATGAATGGAGAGATAATTTGTGGTTCTTACCGTATTTCTGAGGATTCCTTAGCACGTTCAGTATAATTGGAGATGGATTTAATGTTGCAATGTTCAAGTCACGATAGTCATTGTGTAACTTCACAGCAAGATTCAAGAGTTTAGTGTTATATGAATCCACAAGAGTGTTAATGATTCCTATGCAGCCCTCTGGAGTTAAATTGGTATTCCTGCTTTGTGCTGATACCGCTCTCAAGTTAGGAGTACACCCAATCGGTGGTGCTAGCAGAATTATGATATGCTTAATGCCATAATTGTAAATTTCCTATAAATCAAAAGAGACATCCAAAGGTTTTGAAGTTAGTGAATGTAATACTCGAGTACCTGAATAGCACTTGAATATGCTTGTATCATCTCCTGGAACAAGAATGAGCTGGGAACAGCATTAGCAATATCATTAGCTCCCATGCTAAACAATGCCACTGAATTGCGCAAGAGCTGGTTCGTAAACTCCACACCCTTCTCTTTTTTGTACTCATTTGTGACGTTGCGAAACTGGCGCAGCTGCTGCTTCATTGAAATAACTCCCTGATAAAACCCAAAAAGAATGAATCAACATCAACTTTTTCTGAGGGGAATATGGGAGTATACGTACTTGATGGGCATTTGTTTCATCTAACAAGCCTGCACCAGCAGATGCAAAGTTCACCCCACTGGAAAAGTTGGCGCCAGGCTCGAGAAAAGGTGGCAACAATGGAAGGCCTAGTGCTTGAGCCAGGAAATCAGCAATCGTTCTACCATCCGTCCAACGCCCTGTTGGCTTGCTAAAGTACGTCTTTCCATATGGCGGAATTGCGCTAACAATCTTGGAGCCCGGGATGTACGTGTTCTGTCCTCCATCTAACGCTGAGTCCCCAAAAACAAACAGGCCTTGTACTGGAGGATTCGTGCTAGCAGCTTGGGATATCGAGATGCATGCAACCAAAACAATGACAAGAACCCTGAATGGTTCCATCTCTCAACTAGAACTTCTATCTTACTTCTACGATTGTGGTATTCTCCGGTTTTATAATATGGAATAGATTTCCTTGTATGGAATAGCCATGTATGGCATGGCCATGTTCGGTAAAAATTATTATATGTTTTAATGGTTTCAAGAATATGCTAGTACAACCGATAACTCAAGATTAATCTAAAATTCTATTCTAAAGAGGGTTTTGTACCCAGCACAATTTAATCAACATCATATAAATCTTGGCTACTTAGTAGTCTTGCATTTCTTACTCCCCAACTCTGTGTCATATCGCTTAAGAAAAAGCGAAAAAAAGGAGATTTTTCTACACATGATCCACATCCATTCTCTCGATTTGCACCGTGACATGACTTATCTTGAGCTCCCGGTCGCAGTACTCGACCACTCTCTGGAGAACCAAATCGGCATCGGCGTCGTGCTTCACAGCGACATGGCACGACAGCAAAACTTTGCCCGTGGTCACGGACCATATGTGGAGCTCGTGAACTCCCAGGACGTCGGGATGGGCGAGCTCGAGGCCGCTTTGCACTGCCTCGGCCTGGATCCCTCGAGGGGAGCTCTCCATGAGGATCTCCACCACGTCTCTCAGCAGCCTCAGCGTCGTCCACAGCACCACCAGAGAGAAAACCAGCGTGCAAACCACGTCCACGTACCGGAGCCGGGGATACCGCCAGATGATAGCTCCGCCAACGAGAACTCCCACGCTCTGGATCATGTCTCCCAGGATATGAAGATAAGCTCCTCTCAAGTTTAGATTGCTGTGCGGCGTAGAAGACTCCTCCTCCTCCTCCTCTATCACCACCACTTTTTCCAGATCGCCCAAGTGTGCCTTCTCGGTTGTGTCCGAGGAGTCCAGAGATCCGCCTTCCTGCTTGTAACTCTCGCCGGAGAGCAAAATATGGTGGCAGTGACCGTCGCTGTCACGATGGTGGTGACTTTCACCGTGGCCGAGAATGAAGACCATGACCAAGTTGGCGAAGAAACCTACAGCGGCTATCGCAAACATGAGCCTCCCATCGATCGGCGCGAGCTCGTGGACGAGCCTGAAAACCGCCTCGTAAACCAGGAATCCAGTGACGATCCAAATGATAAGAATGGACAAGAGCGCACCTAAAGTCTCGAGCCGGTGGAAGCCGTAAGAGCAGCGCGCCGTCGCCTTCCACCCGGAGGCCCAGATCGCGAAGATGGAAACTCCAAAGCTGGCAACGTCGGAGAGCAAGTGTGCCGCGTCGGCCAGAATCGCTAAGCTGTTGGCCATGAATCCTCCAATCACTTCCACCACCATGAGAGCCAAGCAAAACGCCATCGCCAGCCAGAGCCGCCTGGAAACGCTGCCCCGCTTTCTCTTCTTCTCCTTCGTCTCGCAATGCTCTTCTTCACGATCGCACGAAGACGATCTCTCAGAAAGCGCGCAGCTCGCGACGTTGCTACAAACCAATCTTTTCTTCCTCGTGAATTCCATCGCGGGAGGAGATGGTTGCTTTTTCTGCTTCTCGAGATCCTCGAGATTGTCACAACTGGAGAGGAGAACCAAGAATGTGAGAGCGCAAATCTCTTGATCAAGATTTTACCTCTCTAAGAAGCTGCAATCGTCCGCATTCTCGACGCCACAGCGAGAATGGATCAGAGGTTGCACCTCGCGCTCCATTCCCTCCTAGAATCGCGAATTCGCGGATCTTCCCGACCTAATCGCCCCGCGAGGCGCTCGTAACGGGATGAAACGTACCAGGATTCACGCTGAGCCCCGCCGGCGCCACGCCTTCCACACGGACGACGCCGTCCAAGCAGGGGAACGACTAACCCGCCCTTACCTAAAACTTTTAAAGGTACCCTTTTTTCTATAGAGAATTTATATCAGAATATGCCTTGCACAGAGGCGAATTATTCCTTTTGTGCGTTTCACTCAAGAACCGTTTGTTTGTTCTATGTCTTCTTCCAAGCCGCGATCCAGGCTTCCAGACCCGCCACTGAGATCTCTCCCGCGAACTTGGGCTTCTCGGCCTTGATCTTCTTCACAATCTCTTCATAGCAATCCACAGCCGAGACGGCAGCATCCGGCAGCTCAATCCCGCGTACAAAATCGATGATCTCCGGATCCGCGAGCTCGGTGGTCTCTTCCTCCTTTTCCTGGCCGCGAGAAGCCACGTATGGGATCCCGGACTTCACCCCAACTCGCAGATGGTCACAGATCCTCTTGGCGCAGAGCCCCGCCCAGAGATCTCCACTGCCCAGGAACATGGCCCCCCCGACGAGCTCGCGATCAAAAGCCACATTGATGGATCGCATCGCGAAGAACACGTCCCTGGGCACAGTGAGCACCAGATCCGCGGGCTTCTTGGCCGGATCCAGCCACAGCCCGTGCGAGATCGCGGTGGGAACCCCCGTCCGGAGGCTGAAAGGGTATCCCCGGACGAAGTCCGCGCCGGGCCGGAAGGGATCGTAGAGCGTGTTGAAGAAGAAGGGCGTGGAGGGCGATCGCAGATTCGCGAGGTGCTGCTGGAATGGATCGATGGCGTCGCCGGTGGCCGGATCTGTGGCAGGAGCCGCGGAGCTGAGATCCAAGAAGGCGAGGTACCTGCGAGTGGAGGCGAGGAGGGCGAAAGCGCGCGCCGCGGCTAGGGCCGAGCGGTCCTTGGCGCCCAAGAGATTGCATCGCTCCAGCTCGCAATTGGCGTCGGCGGTGGAGTAGAGGGCGAAATCCAGGCCATGGAGGTGCTGCTGGATCTCTTCCTCCTCCTCGTCGATCACAATGAGGAGATGGTAAGGTTTTAGAATGGAGCGCCACGAAGCGAGCGAAGATCCCAGACCTTTGGAGACGAGGATGACAATGTCGAGATCCTTGGCGCCCGAATCCGCCGCTGCCGAGGACGCGAGAGGAGGAGGCTGGATAGCGTCCATTGCAACGAATATGCCCTAGAATCTCTCTGGAGTGGAGTTTTCATGGACTTCACGTCGCGCGCGTTCGATTCCCCATGGTTTTGGAAAATGGAGTCACCCCTTTAGAGCTTGGAAGAATCAAAACAGTGACTCACTCGCGAGAGAGAGAAGAGAGAGAGAGAGAGAGAGAGAGAGAGAGAGAGAGAGAGAGAGAGAGAGAGAGAGAGCTCGCAATTCTTTTCACTTGGACTGGTTCCACGAGCGATCGATCTGGGACAAAAGAAAACCAATAGTCTAGATGGAGCTTTTGAGCTCCGAATCAATAAAATGGTAAAGAAATCACGCACTTACCAAAAAGTTTAAGAGCACCTACTAATCGTTGATTTTCGAAAGCGTAGAAGTCTGTCCAAGTCGTGGTTGCTCGGAGTTCCAACTCCCATCTACAAAAAGGAAGAGCTTTCAGATGAAATCTTTCTCGCAACATTTATTTACTTACCGTGAAAGAAGTGGAAGCTGGAATCGCAAGCTCGAGCTCTAGAGTTCAAGAGGTTCCTTCCTGGTAAGATGAAAGTAAGGAGGCGAGATCACTATGAGTAACTTACACTCGTATCACTGCGCGAGCCGTGCAGGAAAATCTCTGTTCGGGAAGAAACGAAACAGAGGATTCACGCTTCTCTGCCACACGCGTTTTCAGCGCGCTTCTCCATTATCAGAACTAGAAGAAAAAACTGAAAAAGAAGCATACCTTCATGCTTGGTACTCTTCCGGAGAACTTCTCAAAGTAAAACTTTCGATTCCAATCTTGCAGTTCAAAGGGAAATTGCTTTCAATACTGCTCTGAAGTGAATTGCTTCGATCTGTAATAAGGTATAGTGGGACTTGAAATCTCCATTCCTTTCAGCTCGATCTCTTTTCCTGACCAAGTGAAACCTGAGACTACTTGTCCTCGATTGGCGAATAGATGTTCTTCGTATACCTGACCGAGGCTTGCCAGCGCCGGCATTCTTGTCGACTGGCGTGACCACAGGGATTACCGTCGCCATCGCCATCGCGATTCCAAGAGTGAGCTCCTTAATCACGAAACCCTAGCTCCAAGCAAACGAATAAACGAAGATAAAAGTACCCGTTGGCGGTAAAAGGCAGTTGAAACAGAAGCGTCACTTGACGGGCAGGCATCGCGCCGAGCTCGTCAAATAAATAAGCACGAAGAACCCTAGTTTTTTTCCTCCATTGCAAGAAATGGCGACCAAGGCCATCAAGGCGTTCTTAATGGGATCCATCTTTCGCAGGTACGCGCAGCGATATCGCGCTTCGCGAATTGGAAGCCTATAAAATTCCATCGTATCAGGTTGTCGAAATCTTCGAAATGCGGTGGCAACAAGACACAGATCGAGGATCACAGAGGTTCCGCCGCGACAAGCGATGACAATTCCGAGCCGCTTCCAAGCGAATCGGGCACGGCGTGTGTGTATTGGGGGCAACTCCCGGATGGAACTCAGGTATCTCTTTCTTGTTCTTGGCGAAAGGAAAGATCTCCAGCAGCAAACTCTTTCCAGATTGCCGTGAAGCGATTGAGGAGTGGCAGCAGCTTAAACTCGGACAAAGAATTCGCGGAAGAAGCCGGCAAGATGGGAAAGATGCTCCACAAAAATGTGATGCGTCTGCGAGGATACTGCGTCGAGCGAGACGAGAGAATCCTCGTCTATAGCTACATGCCCAACTCCAGCCTTCTCGCGCATCTTCATGGCGCATTCTCCTACGACAATCTCTTGGATTGGGGGAAGAGAGTGAGAGTCGCTCTTGGCTGTGCCGAGGGGCTCGCGTAAGTTCCAGTTCTTCGAATGCTTTGAGAAGTTCTCACTCCAGTTCGTCAAATGCTTTGAGAAGTTCTCACTCTTTCGTTTCTTCTTCCTTGCAGATACTTGCATCACTCCGCCAATCCTCCAATGATCCACGGCAACATCAAAGCTAGCAACATCCTCCTCACTGACGACTTCCAGCCGCTCTACACGGACTACGGCATCGCGGCGCTGATGAAGAAGCCGGCTCTCAAAGCCAAGGTGGCGCTCGGCTACACGGCGCCCGAGTGCTCCAGCGGCGAGGCCGCGACGCTGCAGAGCGACGTGTTTAGCTTCGGGATCCTGCTGCTGGAGCTCATCAGCGGGCGGCGGCCGATGGAGAAGGTGGAGTTCAGCATGAAGCAGCACATCGTCGACTGGGCGGAGCCGCTCATCCTCGAGGGGAAGCTGGACTGCCTCGTCGATCCAAAGCTCCAGGGGCGATTCGTGCCAGAGGAGCTCAAGAAACTCGTCTTCGCGGCGACGATATGCGCGCAAACGAGCAGCCATAGCCGGCCGAGCATGGCGCGCGTTGTGGAGCTCCTCCAAGGAGTGGAAAAAAACGAAGTGGCTCGCGTCTAAGCACCAGAATATGCGCTTGGCGGAATTTGTAAAGTATTTTACCAGAAAATCCCTTTTTTCTGGCAGAATATGCGCTTGCGCTCAAAGTGAAATATATATTTTTTCTGTTAAGCTAACGGTCTGTGGTTCGAATCTCCGGAGCGCCATGGAGCGCTGTTCAATCCATCCCCGTGTTCTTGAGGGCTTGGGCGGGGCGGTCGGCGTGACGCGGCAGGCGATGGCGGCGCCGCGCGGCTCCGCGTGAGGATCGGCGTCGGGAGCGTCGGATTACTCGGCCGCGGCCTGAGGTATCGTGACGCTGTGTAGATCGGGCATGGGAGCTACGGTGTCGGCGAATGCACATCTTGAGCTGCTGGAGTGGAGATTCTCAGCGAGCATCGATCGCCAGGCGCCAGCGGGCGACTTTCTTGGCGGGCATGCATAGGTTTTCCATCCAGGCATTGAAATTTCGGGTGGAGATGTGGCAGTTCCCAGGAATCTAGGAGGAATTTCCTGTTTCTCTTGACGAGGAGGGAATGGGGTCTGTTTGCTGCGTGCCAGTGAGAAAGCAGTCTGGGGGCCAGGAGCGCTGGCCGGCGGATCCCGCGCACTGGCGCTCAAATGGGGATTTCTCGCCGCGCTGGGATGGAAAGTCGTTTCCAGAGGCCACTGGGAATCTCTACAGGTCTTCTCTCTCCTCCAGCAGCAGGGGCAGCCGGCGTGGAAGCTCTCGTTTCGTGGGTCACCAACGAGCATTCTCGGGTGGGATTTTTTCGCCGGATCCCAGCCCATCCAGCAGCTTTCGGGCCTCGCATCTCAATCCTTTGAGCTCCTGTCAAGTGTGCCCCTTGGTAGATCTGGCTCCTCTTCCACTAGGTGGGTCTCAGTCTTGGGTCAAATTTTTCTTCATCGTACTGGTAATAATTTTGGAGTCTTGTTGCAGATTCGAGCTGTAGTCCATGTACGACGATCACATCTTCAAAAGACGTATGCCGTGCCTGTTTTGATCACTCTTCTCTAATTTGCTTCTCAAAGCGTTTGCATGGTTTGCTTTCCAGGGTACTTTTAACACCCCGGAGTCGCGTTCATCGCTGACCTCGATTTCTAAAGACTGTCCAACGCAACCTTCGATTAAGCCGGTCGTGCACAACAGCGGCGGCAGTAGCAGCAGCAGCAGCAACAACAGCTTTGTATCCAAGTTCTCCAAGACACTTCGGGAGAAGCCGCACAAATGCGGGCTGACAAACGTAGGCAGTAGCAGAGCTAACGAAGGAGCCTTCTCCTCCACGAGAAGATCCGAGAGCGGGGACGTCGAATCGCTCGGCGGGACAACCTCCGACTGGTCGATGGTCGCTTTCTCGGAGCTAGTCGCATCTTCTCGGCGGGACAGGCTGCGATGGATGAGTGACGGCGGTGGCGAGGACTTGGTTGGATTAGCAGAGCTCGAGCTGGCCGCACTGGAGAGGATAAAAGCCGCTGGCTATGCGTCGACCAGCCTCGAGGCGTTCGTCTGTGGCCTTTGCTCCCGCTGGCTGTCACAGAGGTCTCCGCTGAGCTCTCACAAGATGGTGGGGAACTTGGATCCGCCGAGTGTGGGAGTGCTGGCCTGCGGTCACGTCTTTCATGCCGACTGCTTGGAGCAGGCAACGTCCGAGTCCGAGCGACAGGATCCTCCGTGTCCGCAATGCTTGGGTGGTGGCAATCTATTCCCGAGGAGGCTGCTCAAGAGCTACAGCTTGCGTGGATCGACGACGACGACGCCGGTTTGCGCTAAGAACAAGCAGCTTTCCGACGACCCGGAGTCTGGACTGAGGATCTTCTCGTCTGCGTCGCAAGAGCGGGACATGCTGCCAATCTCCGAAAGAAGTTTGAAGACTTCCTCTCGCAAGTTTTCGCTTCGAGGGATCGGGGGCAGCAGCAAGCAGGCGAACAGCGCCAGCAGCAGCAGCAGCAGCAGCAGCACCAGCTACGCGAGCGGCTCCAGGGGCACGAAGTTTAGCTCGGCCTCTCCGGAGGATTCGCCAACGAGTCGGCGGCGGCGAGGATACTTGAAGTGGTAGCGATAGAACGCAGGAAAATTTTGGTTGGAGACCATGGAGGAGGCTGGAATTGCTTGCTTTGCGGTCGAGTAACAACATGGCTTTGTTTCAGTCTTTGTTAGAACAGCTCTTTTGTGAATTTTGCTGAAGTTACAGGGTTTAGGGTTCCTGGTAGAATGCAGCGATGAGGAGGGAGTGAAGAAATTTTGGGCGGAGAGATGGCGGCCAGCAGCAAGAAGCTGTCCACGCTGCTCGCCCCGAGGCTGCATTGCTTGTTTTCTAGGCGCGGCCTCCACTCGGCTCTCAATCTTTGCTCGCAGAAGGCGGCAAAACTGGAGCCAGCTCGAGAGATTAGCGGATGCGACGCGATTGCTGCGAGGAATTGGCAGATCACGGAAGATGAGAAGGACTGGAAGAGTCATGCCGCTGCCGTCGCTCGCTCCATGCAGCTTGTCAAGACTAGAATGAAGGTATGCTCCTCTTTCCATGTCTTCTTATATTTTTTCTGCGTAGTGGGGAGATGTTCTATCCAAGCTCAAAGATCTGGAAAAGGAGCTCGAGAAGCCGGACTTGTGGAGCGACACAGCTCGAGCGTCGAGATATAGCCGAGAGTTTGGATCACTGTCGTCGCGAGTGAAGGAAATCCGGGAGATGGAGTCCGAGCTGGTGGAGAATGTGGATCTCGTGGAGCTGGCGCGAGAAGAGAAAGACGAGCAAGTAGAAGCAGTAAGTGTTTCGTGATCTTTCCTGAGAAGTTGTTCTCTGTTTTTCCATTTGAAGCGTGAGTTTGCTTTATTGATATGGCAGTGCAGGAGGCAGTCTCGGCTCTAGCTACGCTGCGCAAGGCTGCGAAAGACAAAGAGTTACTCGCACTTTTGTGTGAAGAGAACGATGGATGCCCGTGCTTTCTAGAGGTAAAAGCCATCTACTTGCTTTCTTTGGTCGAGTTTTGATGGTTTTTCCTTTCAGGTGCAAGCAGGAGCTGGCGGAGCTGAAAGTATGGACTTTGCAGCAATGCTTCTTCGTATGTACAAGCTATGGGCACTGCAGCGTGGCTTCGAAGCTGCCGTGGTCGACGAAATGCCTGGCGATAGAGCGGGGATAAAGGTGTGCATTTTTTGCAAACTCCATTTTCACTGACGAAATTGTTTCAAGCGTGCAACACTTCGACTCGAAGGTGACTTTGCGTATGGTTTTGCGAAGACGGAAGCCGGAGTTCACAGGCTTGTCCGGATTTCTCCTTTCGACGAGGCCGGTCGGCGGCATACGTCATTTGCAGCGGTGGCTGTCATTCCAATCCTGGACAATGCCGGAGCCGAGATTGAGATAAACGAGGCCGACCTTGTTATTGATCGATTTCGCTCCAGTGGAGCCGGTGGACAACACGTCAATACAACTGACAGTGCAATCCGTATCGTTCACAAGCCAACCGGAATCACTGTTCAATGCCAAAACGAGCGGTATCTTCATCTTCTCGAAGCTAAACTTTGTTCAATTTTTCTAACTAGCTACTCTCAGATCACAGCATAAAAACAAAGACAGTGCGATGGAAGTTCTTCGCTCTCGCCTGTACCAACTGGAACTGAAACGGAAGACTGAAGAAACAGCGCAGCATACTCAGTCGCTCCATGAGATTTCATGGGGAAATCAGATTCGGTCATATGTATTGCAAGTAAGCCAACCGTTTTATCATCCTCTCGTTGTTGATGCTAGCGTTTTGTTGCAGCCTTATCAAATCGTAAAAGACTTACGAACGGGTTACGAGGTGACGAATCCAACAGCCGTTCTGGACGGAGGCCTTGATCCTTTTATATTGCAATATCTATCCAAGATGGGAAGCACTTGAAAGATGCAAAGCATCGAGGTACGCTTCAATGATTGACCACTTAGTAAAACTGACGAGGAGAACTTTTTGCAAACTTTGCAGATTACAATCGATGAATTCAATGGAAGAATCATAAGAACAACAAAGAGAGAGAGAGAGAGAGAAAAGAAGAGGCTACGGCACAGCATCCAGCCGGGGCTCAAACGCCATGCCTTCCAAGTTCGGGCAGTCCGGCACCCACCTCCACGACTTGGTGGAGATGTCAAACAAAACGCCGTCGTGCGAGTTGTCCCGCGTGAGGAAGACGAGGTTTCGGATGCCCGAGCAGTAGAAACTCTCCGACGGCATGACCAGGAAGTGCTCCGCCATCACCTTTGGCATCCGGCCAACTTCCCGCCACTTCAAGCTCCGCTGGTCCAGGAACCACACGCAGATGGTGAACACCTGGTGGCGGACACACTTCCCGACGATGGCAACCTGGCCGCTGCACTCCACCAAGTTCCGAAACTGGCAGTATCCCGGCAGCCTCCCGGTCTTGATCTTGATCCAGGTCTCGTGCTGGAGGCTAAAGGCGAGCAGCGAGCAATTGTACCAGCGCGGGGTGAGGCAGTAGAGCACTCCATTGCACAGTGCGACGTTGCGGGAGATCTCCTCTCCGCGAGGAAGGCAGGCGGAGCGCTTCCAGGAGTTCGTGGCGGAGCTGTAGACTTCGGTGGTCCAGCGGCCGGCGACGACGAGCTTGTAGGACTTGGTGGCGGCGTCGGCGACCATGGTGACGAGCGTGGGACGGTGGTGGAAGAGCATCGGCGGGAGCTCGCGCCAGGCCTTGGTGAGGGGGTTGCAGACGAAGAGGGCGGTGTACTCGTCGTTGTTGTAGCCTTGGAAGTGATTGGTGAAGCACAGGAGGCCTCGAGCAGTGGCAACGGGGAGGCCGGCGTTTGGGGGGAGGAAGGCGAGCGGGAGCTTGTACCAGCGGCTGGCGGCGGGGCTGAAGGTGGTGAGGAGCTGCTGGCAGTCGCAGGCGATGATCTTGACGAAGAGGATGGCGGTGGAGGGGACGGTGGCGCACAGGTCGTGGAAGCTCTTGGAGGTGGCGAGGCGGGACCAGCGGCGGCACAGGGTGGCGAGGCGGAAGAAGGCGTCGATGGGCAGCCAGGCGAGGATCCGGTCGAGGAGGTCGTCCGGGAGGTGCGACCAGAGGTTGGGATCCATGGTGGTGGCGATCATCTGGTGGTCTTGGTGGTGGTAGCGAAGATCGATCGCTTGCTGCTGTTGCTGGGAGTGGTACAAGGCATTGTTGTAGCTCTTGCGGAAGCCCGCGTAGAACTGGCGCGCTTCGTCCAGGAAAACTTCGCCGGGATTCATCAAGGCATGGAGTCTTCCCTGCAGTTCTAGCGATCCTGGGAAGAGCTTGAGCTTGAGGTTGAGAGAAACTTGGGCATAGCAGCTGTGCTCTTGGCTCCTTGGATCGATCGAGATTGCTTTGGTCGATCGATCCAAACGGAGGAGAAATTCCGGCGAAGGGAAGCAAAGGATATACTAAAACTCCACTCCACTCAGCCTCTTTTCCTTCTTCCCGTCCAACCCAACAAGAAAAGAGGAAGTTTTCCCTTCTTTTCTCTCCTCTCTTCCCTTGTTTCCAAGCCAAGCGTGGATGTGCTGCGCGCTGGCTTTGCGGCGGCGTGTGTGCGTCGTGTTTTGGTGTTGGTGGTCGGTGGCCGATCCTCGATCGGTGGAAACAAAAAGAGAGGAAGATCTGGAAGGAGGAAGGAATTGGAGGAGAGATCTTTGCAGTGGCGAGGGGCGGGCGGCCTCGAAGAGGTGCCCGCCCCCCCGACTCTGCTCGCAATTGCCGCGCTTCGTTTTCTAGGGTTCTATCCCCTCATTTGGTGCTCGATTCCCGCCGAAATTTAAAAGTATTGCCGCTAAAATTTGAATTTTAAAAAAATCCGCTGGAGTTGAGGGGCATCGATCCCCTTGCCTATCGCATGCAAAGCGATCGCTCTACCATCTGAGCTACAACCCCACCACGTAGAGGGGTATAATAGCCGGAATATTCTCGTCTCGCAATGGCTATTGTCTCTTCTCTTCATTCTTGTAATGCCAGGCGCTGCGTGGTTCTATCGGCGCTAGGGCGCGCCAGCGGCAGCGAGGTCAGCGATGCCGCGGCGCTCGTGCAGCGCGAGCTCCGAAATGGTGATCACCGCAAGGCGCTGGCGCTGGCGGCTGCGCGATTGCGGGCGTTTGGAGCAGCGAGACAGGTAGGGATCGGAGGATTTTCTTGCTGGAATCCACTCGCAGTGTTGCCGCAGGTCCCGCAGAGGATTTACACGCTGGAGGAGCTGCGGCTGAACGGCATCGACACTGCCAGATTTCTATCGCCAGTGGATTTCACGCTCGGAACGGTGAGGAGAAATCTCCAGCTCGCAGCTTTGGCGGGAGGGATTGCAGCATGGCAGCTCTTCCACCTTGATCAGTTCCAGCTGCTCATCGGTGTTGTTGTTGCTCTTTTTGTTGGAACTTTGGATCAGGTAATCTAGAGTTTTTCTTTCCTCTTTGTTTTTTCATTCATCTAGAACAGATTGTCTACAATGGTGGTGTGGAAGCGTTGCTCCTTGACACTCTCGGTCGTGTTGTAAGCGGCAAGTACAAGAATAGAGTAGCTCAGGTACGCATTTCTTCCAGTTTCTCTCATGTTAATAGTTTCCCTCTGCAGCACGAGGCAGGGCATTTCCTGGTGGCTTACTTGATGGGAATTTTACCCGCGGACTACACATTGTCAAGCCTTGATGCCTTCAGAAAGAATGGCTCACTGAATGTCCAAGCCGGGACAAGTTTCGTGGATTTCGAGTTCCAGGAGGAAGTAAGTTTCAAGTTTCCTGCTTCCAAAGTACCGAAGCTGATCCTGTTTGCAGGTAAACACTGGAAAGCTATCTTCTGGGGTATGACTTCTGCGGATATCACATTGCTTATGCGGTTTATGGCAGACTTTAAACAAGTATGCTTGCGTTGCGCTGGCTGGTGTAGCAACAGAGTTCCTTAAGTTCGGGCTTGCAGAAGGGGGACTATCAGACATCCAACAGGTGATTGAACGATGAAGCTAAATTCACTGTTTCACAAAAAGTTTCCTGCAGCTGGACGAGCTTCTCAAACGGCTCAACTTCACGCAACTCAAGGCCGATTCCCAGGTGAGATGGGCCGTGCTCAACACTGTCAGCATCCTCCGGAGGCACCTGGCTCTTCACAGCAAGCTTGCCGAGGCCATGGACACTGGTAAAAGTGTAGGCCAATGCATCGAGCTCATTGAAACTGAGCTCGCGGGATGCACGGACCTCTAAAGCTCCACAATATCAACGTCCAGTTAAGTGTCTCTCGCTTACTCAAGCGCTCTCAGCTTAGCCAGAAACGCTTGAACAAGATCACGTTAGCATGTTGGACACAACCACATACGGTGCTGCTCTGCTAGCGTCATCAATCCCAGGAACGCTGTTACCTCTGCCAGCGTCTCCATGGAGCTTGCAAGCGCCAACCAGGCTCATCCAAGACGTCGAGTCGGGCTCGAACGGCATGCTCCGGAAGAGATCCTCGGCCCGGTCCAGCCATCCAGCACGGGCCAGAAGATCAATCAAGCATCCATAGTGCTCGTCATTCACCGAAACGCTGCCATCCTCGACCAAGTTGGAGAAACATGACAGCGCTTCCTCGACCAGACCTCCGTGGCTGCAAGCGAAGAGCACCACGAGATAAGTGGCACCGTCCGACTCCATGCCTTGCAGCTGCATTGCACGACTGAGCTGGACCGTCTCCACCGACTGTCCTTGCTGAGCAAAGCCCGTCATCAGTGCGTTCCACGAGACGGTGTTCTTGGCGGAGATGTCGTTGAAGCAAGACACTGCTCGGTCCAACATTCCAAACTTCCCGTACATGGCCACCAGAGCGCTCCCGACGGCCGAGTGGTGCTCCAGTCCCATGGACAAAACTCTCGCGTGGATGGACTTGCCTATGGCCGCGTCGCCGGTGACAGTACAGGCAGTGACAACGTTGGTGAGCGTTATGACGTTCGCTCTCACGCCTTCGAGCTCCATGCCGTGGAAGACCGCCAGGGCCGTGTCGCAGCATCCGTGCTGGGTGTAAAGCCCCATGATGGTGTTCCACGACACCTCGTCCCTGCGTTCCAAGGAGTGGAAAACGGCGGTGGCGGAGCTGAGACGTCCACAGGAGCCGTAAAACTGCATCAGGCTGTTGCTCACAAAAGGAAGCTCGTCAAGGCCGCAGCTGCGAATCCGGTGGTGGAGCGAAGCACCACGGGTGAGAGCTCCGAGGCTGCTAGCCGCTCCCAGCACCGCTACGTACGTCACTTCCGTCGGCTCCACGCCGTGAAGATCCATCAACGTAAACAGCTTCAAGGCCATCCCGGGATCGCCACACTCGGCATAAGCGGCGATCATCGTGTTCCAGGCAACGCAGTCTCGAGCACCGCCAGCTTCCTCCCGGAAAACTGTTACCGCGTCCTCTAGACTCCGGCACTCGCGGTACACATTGAGCAGCGAGTCGACCACGGCAGTGTCCGCATCCACCCTCGCTCGCAGCTGCGCGTGGATCATCCTCGCCTTGTCCAGCTTGCGGAGCACCGAGCACACTCCCAGGATCTCAACGATGGTGACCACGTCCGGAGCCACTCCTTCCAGCTCCATCTTCTCGAAGAGCTCGAGAGCCTCCCGGTGGTGCCCGCTCTGGACGTACGCGGAGATCATCGAGTTCCAGAGCTCGACACTGGATCGCGGAACCCGGCGGTGGAAGAAGACACTCTTCGCACTCTCGAGCATCTGGAAGCGGCCATACATGCTGACGAGCGCGCTGGCGACGGTGTCGTCCCCGTCGGAGCCACAGCAGGTGATACAGGCGTGGATCGCCCGACCGTCGGGTTCGCTCGCGCAAGCACCGAGAGCGCTCAGCATCGCCACCTTGTCTGGCGCAACTCCTTCCAGGTGCATGGCTCGGTAGAGTCCCAGAGCTTCGCGGCCCATCTTAAACTGGGAGTATGCCGCGATCAAGGCGGTGTAGGCGACAGCGTTCTTGGGCTTCAGGCGCTGGAAGAGATCTTCCGCCAGCGCGAACTCCCCGGCCTTGGCGTACATGTTGATGAGCGAGACTCTGAGCACCGCGTCCGACTGGAAGCTGGAGGTGGCGATGGTGGAGTGGAGAGAGCGCCCGGTGTGGAGATCCCCCAGGCTGGAGCACGCCCCCACCGCCGTCGCGAATGCCACCCGGTCGAGCTCCACGCCGTCGAGGCACATTGCCTGGAAGAGGTGGATGGCTTGCCGCGGGTCCCCGTTCTGGGCAAATGCCGTCATGGCGATGGTCCAGGTGAAGAGGTTCCTCTCGCGGATGGTGTGGAACGCGGCCTCGGCGTCTCGGAGGCTGCCACACTTGCCATACATGTCCACCAAGAGGTTTCCCAGGTACGTCTCTCTGGCGTAGCCATCCTTGCTCATTTGCTCGTGGATGGTTTTGCCTTGCTCGAGGCTGTCGCATTGTCGCAGGAGAGACGCGTATCTGTAGCGCTTGGTGACGAACTCTTGCGGATTTTCATCTTCCTGTGGTGGTGGCGCTTGAGATGCCTTGCGCCGGGTGCCTCGCAGCGGCGTCGGCTTTTGTCCGTGCCTCCTCCAGATGCCCATTGCCGTGGCCTCATGCTAGAAGTTCTCTTCTGGATCATCTAGATCAGGGATACTTAATAGAAAATGCAAGAACAGTTTAATCTGGAAAGATACCTCCTAGCGTCATGTCAAAGTGTTTCCATCCAGCACCCCAGTGCGAGAAATCCACGTCTTGTTCATTCTCATTGCTGAGTTCGTACGTCACCACGGGAACTGTCTTGCGAAGCATCGAGCTTTTGCCTTCCTCCCACAAGCTCCCTGATGTAAGTGCCAGTGCCAGCGGCTCGTCCTCCTCGGATGTCAACCTGATAAAACATCCGTCCGCAAAGTTGATTCTTCACGAAAACAATGGCTTACCCTTCAACGAAGTACGCATTCGGCTCCTCCCTTAAGCTTGGGAGCTGAGTGGTCTGTGACATTTCCTCTCGGCCTACTGGAAGATATCCAGGGCCACGCCTTTGACGAGCAGGACTTCTCATCGTATCCCAGGGAAAGTCTTCATAGCCTTCGCGCAGCCTCTTCTGGGTCGGCATTTCGTCATCTTCAAGAATGTCGAGAATGGAAATGCCTGCGTGATCAAATGAAAATAAACACCAGAACCGGATCAAGTTCCTCTTACCTCGTTCATGTGGGAGTGCTATCTTCCCCTCTCTCGGCTCGTTGCGACAAGCACCCGCGCTGCTTTGCGCTCCGTCGATACTCTCACTGTAGTTCCTGGTAGCAGGAGAAGCAGCCGCGGAAATTGGTTCCTTGGATCTTTTCGCAGCAGCAGCAGTAGCAGCGGTGCTGATTTGTTCCTCGTATCGTTTCGCAGCATCCTTGGGAGAGGGAGAAGCGATACCAGAAAATTTGGTTTGTTCCTTGGAGTCATTCCAAGCAGCAGCATTGGGAGCTGGATCGATTCGTTTCTCCGATTCATTCGCAGCAGTCTTTGGACGTGAAGGCTGGTAACTCATCACCGCAGAAGGATGATCCGGAGAAGGAGTCCTCGCTTCTAGGATGATCTCTTTCCTCCTGTGTTAAAGCAACGAAAAGACGAGTATAAGCAGAGCGAAAAACTTACTCCATTGCTCTCTCTAACTCACCCAAAGGGATTTTCATCGTCCACGCTTTCGACTGGAGCAGCAGAGCACAGCTTCATCTCTTTACTCCTTGTGTTAAAGCAACGAAAAAACGAGTATAAGCAGAGCGAAAAACTTACTCCATCGACTCACCCAAAGGGATTTTCATCGTCCAAGCTTTCGACTGGAGCAGCCGAGCACAGCTTCTCAAGCCCCAGCAAATCAAGAGATCGAGATCTTCCCACAGCCTGCTGTGCCGGATCCCTCTCCAGGCGCCTGCGCTGCTCGAAAAACCTCTTCTGCCTACGCAGCAGCCGTGTTCCATCGATCGAAATATCAGAAACTACAACCAATACCTAGCCTCGACAGAGTTCCTGGTCTTCTCGCGCACCAAGAAATGCGATCAAACGAAAGAATCGCGAGAACATCAGCCTTACCTGCTTGATCTTCTTCCGGGATCCTCCCATCCATTGCAGCATCGTCGAACAGACTAGGGTTTATCCTCTTCCCGCCCAAAGTAATTACCCCTGACAGGGCTCGAACGCGGGATCTACCTCCTAGGGTTTGCGAGCAAAAATGGTAAGACTCAAATGCATCGATCGATCGCGAGATCACTCGTTTCCCTCCTCCCAATTTCCAGTCCAACAGAGCGCGGCTGTTCAAGGAGTACCGGGAAGTCCAGAAGGATCGCAACGCGGATTCGGACATCCAGCTCGTCTGCGATGACACAAACATCCATCGATGGACGGCACACATCAAGGTAAGAAATTCATGCAGTGTGTGTGTGAGAGAGAAAGAAATTTCGCTTGGATTTCCAGGGACCGGCCGAGACTCCATACCACGAAGGCGTGTTCCAGCTCGCGATAAGCGTCCCGGACAACTATCCTCTACTTCCACCGCTAGTCCGCTTCGTCACAAAGATCTTTCACCCAAACGTTCACTTCAAGGTACCGCAAATCTTTCATCCTGGCCTGGAAGAACTCAAAGAAAAATAGTATAGCGATGCTAAGCATTTTCTTTTTTTTCTTTTTTCTATTCCAGACTGGAGAGATTTGCCTCGACATTCTCAAGACCGCTTGGAGCCCGGCATGGACGTTGCAATCGGTTTGCCGAGCGGTGATTGCTTTGATGGCTCATCCCGAGGCAGACAGCCCTCTCAACTGCGACTGCGGTAAGAGATCTTTGCTCCAAAGTTGCCAAGTTTGAGCTGGATGTCCCAGGGAATTTGCTGCGATCTGGCGATGTGCGAGGCTATCGATCCATGGCTAGAATGTATACTAGGCTGGCTGCTCTACCCAGCTCGTCATAGTCTCTCCTGTGGTAAAACATTGTCTGTATTGCGATTGAATAACACACACACACACATACTTGTGACTTACGTGTTAGAAGAATGGATCACATTTCACCACATTGCGAAATTGTGCATTGGAGCTTTGGCTTGTTGCTCTGACCAGTCTGGACGTTTTCGATCTTTCGCACCACTAAAAGTCCGTCGCCCAAAACCCTCTGGAAAAAATAGAGCATGAGTTTTGTAGCTCAAGTTTGAGAAGAACTTACTCCAAACACCACATGCTTGTTGTCGAGCCAGTCGCATTTGGCGCAAGTTATAAAGAACTACACAAACAACGTCTTCCGTAAGTATAGATCATCCACAGAAGATCACAAAAAGCACCTGACAGCCATTTGTGTTTGGGCCGCTGTTAGCCTGCGCATTCATTCCAAGCGTCAAAATGGAATTTCTCGGGTCGAAGGAAAAGAAAGTTAGCAGCTCATACCATGGACAAAAGACCCGGGCCAGTGTGCTTGGCTACGAAGTTTTCATCTTCAAATTTACTCCCATAGATGCTCACGCATCCGTTTCCATCGCCCTGTGAAGAAGCAAAACTGTCACTGGCAAGAACTTGCAAAGAATCGCACTTCACCTTGAGAAAATCCCCGCCTTGAATCATAAAGTCTTTGATCACGCGGTGGAAGCTGCAGTTCTTGTATCCTTGTGGTGTCCCGGCTTTTCTACAAACATAGGATCGAACCAGACTTCTTATCAAGAGAGAAAACCCTCCTTACCGAAAATCACCAGTGCAAAATTGCCTGCCAAAGAAAGGAAATAAATCTCTGAAACAAAAACAGACACGAAGTAGAACTAATACCTGAAGTTCTCGGCCGTCTTGGGAACAATGTCGGCGAAGAGCTCCATCTTGATCCGCCCAGCAGGCGCCGTCCCGATTGTGATGTCGAAGAAGACGACGGGGTTCTTTGGATTCTGCGGCCTCAGGTGCCACTCTACAACGCCCGCCATTTCCCTCGGGACCCTAAAAGACAGGCTTAGGGTTTAAGCGGATCTTTATTATTTTATATTCAAAACTTAGAACAAGTTATAAATTAATTAATTAATAAGCTTATTATTTTACTTTTCTTTACATTAATTGAAACAATGGGAAATACAATAATCACAAATATTGAGTTTATTAATCATATACTAAAAAATTGTTTTTTTAACTTTTAAATATAGTATTTAATATCTCTCAAGAGTTTAAGTTTCATATAATTGTGACTTACATATAAATGTCTTTTATTTTTAAATTATTAAAATCTTATGGGCTATTAAGTCTTGTACTTTAAATTTTTTGTTGCAATTATCAAGTTGGAATATAACTTATGAAATGACAATACTTTTAAAATTTATTTGAACTACAAAGGAGTTTTTCCCCATTTTTTACCTCTTTTATTTGTGGCTTAACAAGTTTCTTCTAGATTTGTAACATGTGATCCATAATGCTTTTGGCTCAACATTCCAGTGGTGAGCAAGTTAGCCTCTATTGGAGAAGGAGAATTTTTACCGGATTACAATTCTTTAGTATAACAGCTTCCTCCCTCGAGTTATAAAAAGTTTATATATCAAAAAAATATATATATAATTTTAAATTTTTCAACCAAATTTTTAAGTGTGAAATGTTTTTTCTTACTATTCACTAAAAATTAATATACAAAATGTATTTTTTTTTACAAATATTTCAAATCTTTTTTAACCACCATATTAATTAAATCATTCATTTATAAAGTCATACATTTGAATTAATATGTTATAAACTTATATAAAGCTGATTATTATAACTTTAATAGTATTTTTTTGTACTAATGAAGTTGAAATGTGAAAAGGCATTCAAGTATTGTATAATACAGTGTACCATTTTATTTATTAGGATATATAAAATAAATTTTAATAAATGAGCTAAAATGTTATTTATTATATTTATATTTTCATGCCAAAGTCTTTCAACCATTTTGCAAAGTTAGGAGAAACTTTAATAAAATTACATGATATTTTTCTTAGTAACTAAAATTTTAAAATGTTAATTAAAATATAAAAAGTGGAAAACAAATTGATATGCATTAGTACCTTAAACGTATAAAATAACTTTGGTATTTATATAAAGAGGTAGTAAATATTTTATTTAAATTTTTAAATATTTTAGGATATTAATATTATTTATTTTGAGTATATTAAACACACTTTCATCCCTATACAAATAGTAAGTGACTAGCCTATGTAATTTATAACTGAAATAATTAAAGATTATTTTAATTATGAAAAGTTTAGTAATTGTGATTTGAACATTACTTAACAAAATAAATGAAAACTTTGAGGTTTTATTGGTATAAGGTAAGATTGTAGTGTAATAGCTAAATAAATAATTTGTTAAGTATTATATTTCAATTTCATAATGGTTAATAATTATTTTTATACAGTGACATTAAGTTATAGAATAAAGCTTTTTATTTTAAACATGTTTAAATACTTACAAAACCATTATTTTTGTTTTGATCAGATTCATCTAAATTATTTTTATATAATTATAGTAAAAATATTTTTTTAAATATAATTTATAATTTTGTATGCAAGTTATAACTTAAGAAACTGGTATATTATATAAAATAGTATATAAGTTTTGAAAGAAGACATTCAAGGTTGCAAAATAGGGAATGAAGAATCTATTTACTTCTTACTAATTCAATTTTATTATTAACCACTAAATTTTATTATACTTTTTTAACAAAACTTCCTATGATTCCAAATCTTTAGAAAAATTTAATATTACTTATAAATATACAAGCTAATATTAAAGTGTGAAGCTTAGTATTCAATTATTTGATTTTTAATGTATGACTTATCCTTGTGTTTCATCACCTTGAGCTTTAATAACCTTGAGATCATCAGATATAATTTCATTATTTTAATTAATCTAAACATCCAAATCAAAATGATAAAATCTCAATAGCGATCCCAAACAACACCAAGTCAATAACACCAAGTTAATACTAAAGGCTTCTAGCTAATGGTGGGATCTCCACAGTTCCGAAGCTACAGCAGCGGAGACTTACGTCCCACGGTGGACCGGGATATCACGGTTTTGGAACATGTATGGCCTGTCCTACTATCACAAAAAACTACGCGCGAATTAAAACGGAACAAAGGCAAACCAAACCTTTGTAATGTCGATCACATTTTTACACCGCACGGGCTGCCGTAAGGGCTTCCCTCCTCGAAAGGACACATGGATCACACACATGGTACGCCCTTACGGCTGCTGTAGCATGTGTCGAAAGAGCACGACCCTCATGATCTCGTTCGTCCCTTCGAGTATGGTATGGACTCGCAGGTCCCTAAGATACCTTTCAACCTGGACAAAATGAATTGATTAGAAGTCGTTGCGTGCTACTACTAGATTGTCATATTACCGGGTAGTCTTTTAAGTAGCCATATCCCCCATGAAGTTGCAATGCATCATTCGCAATGTTAAAGCAAGCATCAGTAGCGAACCTTAGAAAAGAACAAGCAATATGTTTAGAGCCGAACAATCAACACAACGACCCAACCAACCTTTTCGCCATTGCAGCGCAAGCAGAGGCTTTCGGAGATCCAGCATCCAAGGCAGCGGCAGCATTTGATACCATTAAGCGTGACGCATGCAGAGCAGTCTGCATATCCGCTAGTTTGAATTGAGTACTTTGAAACTCTGTGATGGCTTTTCCAAACTAAAACCACAAAAAAAGAAAACTAAAAAGATGTTCCACCGTAAAATGCATAAAGATATTCAGTTACTTGTTTGCGAGTAGACGCATATTCCTGAGCAGTATCAAGGCAGAACTGTGCTCCCCCGCAACTAAAATAAATTGTGTAAGAAGTTACGATAGGAAAACAAATTAGTTGTCAAACCTGCATGATGCGATATTTATGCGACCTCCATCAAGGCCCGCCATTGCGATGGCAAATCCCTGTCCCTCTCGTCCAAGCATATTGGCGGAAGGCACACGCACCTCTTCCATGACCACCTAAACATAGGCAATCAACAAACACCTTCAAAACACTCTTGAAGACATACGGAAGTGGTAGGCTGAGATCGCCATCCAAGCTTATCTTCGGGCCGTCCAAACGAAAGTCCAGGCATCCCCTTTCACACATCACATTGCAAACAGCTGAGCTCAAGCTTGTCAAAAGAAAGACCGAAAATACCTTCTCTAAGAGAAAGCAAGAGATCCCTTTTGGGCCCAGCGCTCCTGTTCGAGCCATCACCAAGTACAAGTCGCTAACGCTTCCTCCACTAATGAAGGCCTGAAACATGATCGGATAAGAAACAAAACTGGGCCTCGGAGTCGTACTAGACCTTTGATCCATTCAGAATGTAGTCGCTGCTGCCGTGTGCTTGTCTTGCTGTAGTCTGGAGTTGAAAAAAAGTGTCAATACTTGAAGTTGATAGTAGTTCTTTGCCTGTAAGGATGCGGCATCACTCCCGCTTGAAGGTTCCGTTAAGCAGTACGATGAAAAGAATTCCTAGGTAGTATTACAACATCCGGTAAGAAATCAAGTAACAAAAACGTACCATCTGAATAAGTTTTGGAAGCCAGTGGTTTCTCTGTTGATCATTTCCATACCTACAAACCACAGAGTTGGAAAAAATCAAAGAACAAATCGAAAGAAACATTGGAAAAGCTACGAAGATAACCTGTCAATCAAAGAGCAGCACATGTTATGAATGGTAAGATAAGCAGTTGTGCTTACATCACCATATGCCAGCGCCTCAAAAATCACTGCTCCATCCACTCGATTAAGCCTGTAAGAACAAGTGCTTCAGAATTTTTGCTTGGTTATCATGCCGCTCACTTACCGAGAGCCACCAACGTCTTCAGCACAAAACATTCCTCCGAATCCCAGACCGGCAGCCTTTCGCAAAACCTCCACTGGAAAATATTTGTCGCAATCCCACTGCGCGCCATTGGGAAGGAGCTCCTTCTTGGCAAAATCCTGCCGACATGAGAATTTCAATACTCTGGCGCGGGGAAGAGATTCCAAGACTTACAGTAGCAAGCGCACGAAAATGCAGCTGATCGGCCGTAAGGCGATGCTCGTCCCACAAACTCGAGACACGATCCGAGCTGCTGCCAGAAGAGGTGGCGTGCTTGCAGAACGAATGTGCGCCACGAATCGCCTTTAGCGTCCGGAAGCTCGACCTTGTCGCCAGCGCCATTTAGATGAGAACGAAGAACCCTAGAAAAATACCGTGACACAGGAATGGAACACGGCACTACCTCTTTGAAGGCTCGAAAAATTGAAACTGGACCGGACCGTGGACCGTGGAGCGGAACACCAAAACTTTCAATTGCATTGCATTCATAAAGTCTTATGGGAACCGCAAGACTATAAACAACATAAGAAATGATTTGCCATTTGCATGGTGGCCATTCAAATCTAAGGCTCCATTGGCATCGTTTTATTACATCTGGAATTAAAGGATCTAGTCATGCTTATTCACCTCCCAGCAAAAAGTGATTTGATCAGTGGCAAGACAGGTAAGTTTTAAACAACTTTTTTCCAAGTGGTAATAACTATTCCTAAATATTCTAGCATATTCCAAGGTGATCCTTAATCTAATGGCTGTAAGAAGCTAAAAGGATATCAACACCTACTTTGTATTTCACCTCTCATGTTTTTTTATCAATAAACTAAACTAAACTAAACTAAAAGGTATTTAACAAATATTAATTTTTTTATAAAACATAAGAGAAATAAATAGATTTTGATAATCAAATGGAAATATTAAATGCATAACAACAAAATGCCATGCTAAATTTGTAATCTGATCTTACTGCTAAGCTTGAATGCTATGCTCTCTATCCAGCTCTAAACTTGCTTGTTGCTGTCTTGAAAGCATGGATGAGCAACACATTCCAAACGTTTATTGTCAAAACTACACCTTCAACACACCCTTAAAGTTGCAATCCTCATGAGTATACAGTATAAGTTACCAAAGTGGAGGACACCACAGTTGCTACCTACAAGTGATTGCTCCACAATACAGTAGCAGGACATTCACCATCCAGCCATAGATCCCAACTACTCCAAATTGGTGTCCTAGCTCCTAGTGTTCACTCAAGTCCAAGGGCCTGTCTCAGCTGGCCTTGGACTTCTTCTAAACATTGGAAGGAAGCCAAAATGTGGACCCAAGTGTTCCCCTAAAAGCTTTTATTGTGACATTGAGGTTGTTGTGAGGAAGACAAAGCCCTCTAAATCTGTAAAAGTGACATACATGTTATATTGTGTCAATTGCAACTTGTCCCTAGAATCAGCACAACCAAGGCATCTAGGCAGGCATAGCTGGAAAGATTCCTCTCTTAAAGCACCACACAAGAAACACAAACAAGGCTCTTACTAGTGTTGTAGGCACTCATGAACAAACTATATATATAATATATATATTATAAGTTTAGTCATATAATGCCAAGTTTCATGTAGAAGAAAAGTCTTGCCTTTCTCAGCTATTGTCAATGAGGAAAAACCTGGGTCTTCATCATGGTGGAGGGTCACTTGCACTTGTCTTCTGCACTTTATTTCAAACCAACCAAGAAGCATAGGAATGGCTTCTGTTAATTCATACTGACCGTCATCACAAAGCCTAAGTTCCTTGAACTTTGCTATTTTTTACCTTTCCACAATATTAGTAACCACTACAAATTGATAGTCACATAACTCCATGTCATCCACTTCAATCGGGACAAAACCATCCTCTAAAATCAGACAAAAATGAACCACTCTACTTGAGACCATTTTTGCTTTGTATTTTATTGTTTAGCAGGTTTGACTAACACCACTTCCCCAGTAACAGAATGATTCTCCAACCACTTTATGTCTAAGGTCAACCGTTCCACATTACTACTTGTTACTAAACCCAACCTTGTTCCTGCTCTTCCTTGTAATTTGACTACATCACCAGCTTGCACCCAAACAGGATTCACCCTTGACAGAAGATCATTTGGAAATTTGGTGGCAACAACTTCTAAGGCAATACGAAAACCTCTCTTTGCCATGGCATCATCATTATGCAGGACAACACAAATTTCCCGAAGAATTTCCTGAATATACAATATGCAAGCAGAGTCATATGCTAGAATTTGCATATTTATAGATTCATATATCATTGGATGAGAAGTTTGTGGATGACAATGATACTTGTGTATGTGTCAATACAGTTTCTTAGAAATATATCTGGATAACATAAAAGGACTCACTTGATAGTATGCTGAAAACAAACCATCAATCACCCACTGTAATCAATGGAAAAAATCTCCATCACCTCCACATAACAAACCTCACTTGTAGAATAAATTATGAGAAATAAGAAGTTGAAACTAGACAAATACCTCCATTGTCTAGATCTTTTGTGTGACAACCAAACTCCCACATTTTAAAATTGAATTGTGAATGCAAACAGCCTTGTGCCCATAGCAATGCCCTTTGACAATTTTTTATTCCTAAAATGTTGGGCCTACTAGCTGCACAACAGCTTCCAACTATACAGTTGATAGCAAAATCCCTCCCATCATATTCATTAGGACACCAACATCATGTAATCTTCTTTTCCAGTCTGTGCTTGCTATGTCCATGGATCTCCTCTATAAATCTATGGCTTGCTCCTCCAAAGTCACAACTACTAACCCATCCTTCACAAACATAGTCTCCAATTCTAGATGTGACCTGGGCTTAATAAAGCTTTTGTTTAATAGCAAGTTCAACCATGAAAGGGGGAGAAGTCCATCTCTTTCTACCATCATTTCTTCCTGGATTGTTGTGAAAAAATACCTACAAAAAGGTGCTTGTGAACTTCTTCAAAGATTCTAGAAAAATATTACCTGAGATGAGCTTTCATGAATGTCCTTTCCATTTGTAAGTGGTTTATCTATATAGCATTGAGGTCTTTAAAGTCTGACTCAAATCTGTAGCACCACGTGTTTGCTAATGAGCTATATTGGAAAATATCATCACAAATGTGCCCTCTGCTAAACACATACATCAAAATGGATTGATGAGCTCCATACCTCCCATACTAGAACACTTCTACAGTGTTGCAAATCTAATGAACATAGTCAAGATTTTCAACTGTCCATCTACAACTCTAGCTCCAATTGTAAAAAATTCTTGTCAACTCAATGAGCAGTTGACATATTTGAAAACCTGCTGTATTGAGAAGTCCATCCACTATATACAGTTGATACCATTGCATATAGTGTTGGTTTTCCTGTGTTCGCCAGAAGCCAAGTCTTAATAGTGGATGGTCATGTTGGCATCCCCTCTTCATACAGCTTGTCCTCGATTTCAACAGAACCTCCATTCACTCTACATGACCATTCTGTTCCATTGTAGCAAAGGTGAGTTCATTCCATTGTTTCAGAACACCTAGGCACCAGAGATGCATTAAGTTAAAGCTAGAGATCTCTACCAAGTTCAACCTACAAATCCTTATCAGAAAACACAGTCGAAGCCACAATGAAGTCCAATTATACTTACTCGTATATTTCAAAAAGTCTTGTCTCACACCTATATCCCACTGTAGTTGTCACTTTCGTGATGTGTTTGGAAGCTATTCTAATTCCTTGATAGCTACCTATATTTCTTGCAAAGTTCATGGTGTGGTAGGCTTCATAAAATTCTTTGTTATACCTCCATTCTTCCAGAAGTTCCTTCCAAAAGCATTGGAGCTTTACATTTGCTGCAGCAGTTCTTCCCACATGAGATAGAAAAGTAATTAGAAAAACATAAAAGATATATAATTTTTTTATTACCACTCAAAAACTTCAAGAGTTTGCATTGTGCAAGATGGTCTGTGGTTACCACTATTGGGATGTGGAGTGTAGCTTAGAGCACTGAGAATATTTTAATTTCTAGAATATTCCCTTCTCTTTGTATAAAAGCCCCACAAGTTAGTGAGGGAAGGAGTGGTATTTAGGGCAATTGAGGAGGCATGGAGAGGTTGAGTTAGAAAAGTTAGGAGATAGCTTTCATCTCCCAATTAGTTTAACTTTTTATGGAGAATAAGAAAAAATCTGATGGATGGAGAGATTTTAGAGTTTTAATGGCTAGATTTGTGTTTGGGGGATCTCTTGGATTGATAAAAGTTCCCTCTTGCATAAATTTAGAGTATAGGCTCATAGATTTAGAGTTTTTCCCATTGTTTTTTCATTTTCCTTCATTTTGCTTGGTTTTGGAGAAATTTTTAGTGATATTTTGGTTGTGCCTTGTCTGGGTTGAAGTAGTTTCTCCTCCTCTTTTCAGCGAGTTAAAGAACATGTGATTTGGTGGAGAATCAAGTTGCATGCAAATGTTTGTTTTTTTGTATTTTCCCTTGTTTTCACAGTTTATTTCTAGATGTTTAAACTTGAGATTACAACATTGGTTTAGAAAATTGCTAGTGTGGGCCTTTAGATTTGGTCATGAAATTTCCAAAGAGTGTTTTTTTTATGAGTGGAATATAAAAGATTAAGATATCTTTCTCTTTTTCTTGCTCTCTTCTTTTTTTTCTTCTCACAACAAAGTTTTAGAGCTTTAAGAGTGATAATTCCTAATTTTTTTTTGAAATTTCTTTTGTGGGTCTCTCCTTTTGCTTCTTAATTTTTTTTAAGTCCTTTCTTGCAAGCAAAGAATTATGAGTTTTGGTGTTGTTTATCTCACATACTACACAACTACAATTTTGAGGAGTTTTTTCTTTCCAATTTCATCACCATTTTCATTCTTTTTGAGTGTGTTAGATACATTTCCTTTAGAGCTTTTACTATGTGATTGCATGTTAGATTTTATGCCAAATTTAAAGAGTTTGGAATTCCCACTTTTGCTCATTTATTTTGAGTACAAGGGGTGGTTTTAGCTATTTTCACTCAATTCTTAGTAGTTTTACAAATTTTTCTTTCTATAGCTGTGTAGATGGCATCAAGTGCTTTCTAACACACTCTTGCTCATGATTTTTGGTGCTTTAAAGCTTGAGATATTCATGTTTTTATGCTTATGAATGTTTGTGAGTGATAATGTTTATTCTCCAACCATTTATTTTGGATATAAGATCTTTACATTAGCTTAGAGGATTCCAAGAGCCAAGAATTTTTACTCTTTGGGAGCATTTGCAACAAGCCGGCATTTGCAATGACTATGGGATTTATACCCATTCACACTAGATCCATGCACATTCAATGCTACTTACTATCAACACTATCCC